AATATTTTATAAAAATAATATTTCTAATTTTTATAAATACCAAGTAACAAAACAATTGATAAACTTTCATAGTTTGGAGAATGATATGATATATGATTTTTCACATATCTATACAATGGTTCCATTACAATGAAATTTACTGTTGAACCAACTCTGGCAAAACTTAATTGAAATCCAAACACCATGTTAAGCTCTCTTCCTTTGAACCATAAAACAGCATAATTATTTTGGGCAACAGCCAAAGATTCACCTCCAATTCTGTGTAATAATGATAAAAATAGAATAATTTTAAAACTGGTTTAATTTTAAAATCATTCTGTATATAATTTTGCAAGTACCTAAATTGTCATTAAGATATTTTCATTTAAGTTAAAGGTGGCTAAATATTTTTAAATTTTAAATACATAAATTTTTACAGATAATTTAATATAAATCAGAAGTTTTTATTGAAATTTTGAATTAATTCTTTGATAAATTTACAATGAAACCAAAATGTTAATATTATACTTTATATATTTATTAATATAAATAATAATTATTATGAAATATCATTTAATTAAACATTCATTACATATAATATAAATAGATTTAACAAGACTTAAGTTATTGTTATATTTATATATGTATTTAGTGTATAACTGTTAATTAAATAATTAAGTGTTATATTATTTTTTAAGTACCTTATACAAAATTAAATTATTATATATTACTTTTAAAAATATGAACTATATAGGAAATTTTTTTAGTAATTTTTTGATATATACTTTGAATGAGATATTTTAGTTACCATTATTTGCAAAGCACAAAAATTTGATTTGATTTTTTTTATTTTACCTCTTTTAAATGATATTTTTAATATAAAATAAAAGTGTATCAATTTTAGTTAGTATTTTAACAAACTTTAAACAGATTTTGATGTAATCATCTTATCATGACAAATCAAAATAAATACTAATTACAAAATTACCCAAATATAAGTCGACCAAGTAACATAACCCAGAGTGTGTTCACATGTGCTCCAACAGCAAATACGATTTGGCCTATAACTACCAAGAGTGCATAAATCACAGTACCTAAACGTATTCCAAAAACACTGAAAATATTAATTAAAAATTAGGTATAACAACTATTTTAAACATATATATACACAAATAAAAAATAAATGATAAATATATATTCAAATGGAAAAAATGGAAAACCTGTCAATTAAAAATCCACCAATGAAGCACATAATAACATTAGGCCAAGAATACCAGGAATACAGATAAACAAATTGGGTAGTAGATAAATTCATATCTTGTATAAAATTGTCTTGTAAAGCACCAGGGTTATCAAAACAAAAATATGAACCTAAACAATAAAAATATTATTAAATATATATAAGGTTTGAGTGCTAAACACAGTTAATAATATTTACCAAATCCAATCAAGCACATGAAAAATAAAGCCAAAAGTCGTTGAAAAATGTGGCTTGGATGTTTCCATGTTATTATATCTTCTTCTGGGTTATCTATTTCTTCGGTAGATATACCTTGTTCAGCCATTTGTTCAATAGATACATCTTCTTGATGTTCTGCCATTTGATGAATTTTAAAATTAACTGCAATTATAAAAATAAAATTACAATTTTTTAAGTGTAAATACATCATATTAGGAATATAGTCTATTTAAAATGATTATAAGTTTTAAGTTTAAAGTACAGGGTACAACCATCAAACCTAGCGATTTTATCAAGTACTGGTGAGCATGGCTTAAGTAGTAGAGACTTTTGAACTATTCAGATCGCTTTTAAATACCTGGAATTTAGTAAACATGGGGCATAATGACAGTCGTTCTCGTCCAAAAAATAGTGCTATAAATAAGGTGGCAGTGCCAAGAACCAACCAAAGTCTCTCACTTACAGGACCATGTGTTCTAACACTGAGAGATATAAATTAGGTAGGTACCATATTTCCTGATGTTTTCTTATTAACTTTATAAATAAATTTATTTAACAAAATTATTAATTGAAATAAAATTACTAAATAATTACCTATATATTTGCAAAATGATTCTTATAAATAGGTTTCCTAACATATTATCTTAATGTGTCAATAACTAATGAATTTGAAATTTAAACAAAATGAAAATCAAATAAACATTCATTAAGGTATTTTCAAATATTTTTGTTGAATTTGAATTTAATCGTTTTATGTGTATGTAACAGGGTATTAACAACAATACCAAATGTTTCTGACAACTTCTTACAAAAATATAAGTTGGTAGGTACAATTAATATTAAATTACTGGTACAGGTACCTATATATTGATATTTATTGTAATTTAATATATAGTTCTGATAGTTCTTAGTTAATATATTAATATTAATATTGAATTAAACATAGTTCAATCTTATTACAGTGCGGGGGGTGTGGCATCAAAAAATAGTATAAAAGAGGGCATGTACCTCAAAAAGTTGAGAGCTATAAAGGTTATAACACTTGATGAGACCAAAAAATTGACCGATACATAGAGGTGACCATTAAAGGAAGTTTTATTATATAATATTATAATATATATTGAAGGCACACAGAAATGTACGTAATATATGTTAAAGTGTTTTTAAAAATGACATATAAGTATACATAAATAAATTGTTCATAAAAATATAGTCAACTACCTAAAGAAATTAAAATTTATAAACATATTCCTAGCTCCATTCATAATCAAAAAATCTTAAGATATACCTACTCAACAGAACTTGAATAAATTGGTTAAATCTTCTATTTAATTAACTACCTAAATTCTATTTCTACAAATGTATAAACCTGAAGATAAAATGTTCGTGATTTATCTGAAATATCTTAGAATCGTATTTGTATTGTTTGGTAATTAAACAGTATCAGTACATCATAATATAAAAACATCTGTTGTAAATTAAATCAACTAACCTTTTTTGCGATTCGTATTTTAACGAGTCCAATAGACCATAATACGTTGGAAATCGGTAGTCGTTGTTTTACCAAAAACAGAATTAATATTTGTGTTGTTTGTCGACAAAATACACAAAAGCGAGCGTACTACGTAGTAAGTCGGAAAATAGTAGCGTGTGTCAACGACACAAACAACAATAACGCGCCTGACGTTTGTGAGGGAGAATTAAATTAATGAATACCAGACTTTTATTGTACTTTGTACTAAATGTACCATGCTTCTACCAATAAGATTGTTTGACAATATCTACAGGAACAAAAAAATAATATAAACACGTATAGGTACAGTCAATAACACAGAACATATGTGCATATTCGACTGTGTTATCAGTATTAGTAACATGCCATGAGTCTGCAAGTTTTTTTTTTTTATCACAAAAGCCTTTATCAACGACCAAGGTCCGTATTTGTAATTTTTTTAATGACACAATGAGTACAACGAATTCAAGTCGGCAAAGATAAACGAATAAATATAAATAATTGGCTAGCCAAAGAAATTCTGATTTAAATATTTTTTCAAACATAAAAAACAATTTCTTTTTAAATAGTATATAAAAATCAATAACAGATTGAATATTTACGTATATTAAATATAGTTATAATTATTAAATGTTTATGTTTTCTGTGTTTAATATTTGTGGTATGAAAATAGTACCTACTCAAAACAAATCACAATAAATAGGTTTACAAATATTATATTTATATACAAATAAATTGAATAGTTGTCTACCATTTTTGTATAGAAAATTATAAGGTTTTACCTACGTAGGTTACCTATTTTTTTTTTTTTTTTATTCACTGTGTATACATTTTCTCCTAGAACTCTTTCAATCAAAACATTAAAAAGGAATTTTTTTGTTAAGTACCTACATTTTGGCTCTGGTTGATACCTTAGAACTCGATCTAGAAATATTAAAAATAAGATGTTCATTGGCAACTGTTTCTTATTTTTATTTTGTTATTATTAGTTTTTATTATTTTTACATTTTTAAACAATTGTTTTAAAAACTCCCTTTATTGAAAAAGCAATACCATTGATTGAACTCTGCTCAGAATCATTTTTCATTAGCATTGATTAAGCGCTATATATATAAATTAAATTACCTTCTATAATCTACCTTCCCAACTTCTCATTTATAACAGTGGCCCACTCGTGGTGAGAAGTATGTCTCTTCGCTTTTATATATACATATATATATCTTTATTGTGAATAAGTACAATAGGTATGCACAATAAGTTATTACAATAAACAATGAGATGAATACATGAAAATAAATCACACAGTAGAGACACCTGATAAATTTAACTTATTAAATGTTTAAGTGAACAGTTTTATTTGAGAGGACTGGGTTCCCATGTAGAGAACTTAAGGCTATATTATCCTTGATGAGCTATTTGGAATAGAATTGAAGTTTTGTATGGAAGTATTTGTAGGAATAAATAACAGTTTTTGTCTGGTAAACAGGTTTTGAAGAATTATTTAAGATATACCAGGATATTCCAGTGATTAAGAAAAGGCATAGGTGCAACTGGGAAACTTAGGGGAGTTAAGTCCCTTCAGTATTCCAAATAGCCCCCCCCCGCCTTACAACGAATATAGTTAGATATATTAATATTTTATAATAATTATATTTTGTATTTGTTTTTATGACTACAATTATATAATATTATATTTTCAAATTTAAACAAATAAATTTATTTAAGGCTATAGCCCCCTAGAATTTTTATCTTAGTTACTGAAAAGGCAAAGATATTAGATTATTAATTAAAATTGTTTTTAGCAGACTTCTGTATAACAATGTCATGCACCCATAATGGTTGAAGGACAGTTTTATATAGTTCAAGTTTAAGGGATAAATAATGATAGGTTTAGGTGTAGAAGTGACCTAAGCAAGTGTAATACTGTAAATCAGAATTTAACTTTCTTCGCTTATCCTTGAAATTTAAAATTAGTTTTGAATGATAGTGTTGTTCATTGATTCAAGTAGACAGAAGTAAGATCTGAACAAAAAAGGAGTAAGACTATAATTCATCAATTTAAATTTTTCAGATTGTGAACTGTGGAGAGTATTTACATAAAATTATAATTATTGAAGACTTGTAGTCAAATTATCTGTAAATTTCTGATTTTTATTTAATTACTTTTTTTTTTTTATAATGTCTCTTATCCACACTCAAAAATAATATTTGAAAATCTAAATCAAATTTATTTTCTATTTTTACCAAAGACTTTATATTAAACTAAGTACTGCAACATTTAATTTTAAATAAATATCTTGATTATTGATTGAATACTAAAACGTTGCAAAATTTAATTCTACCGTTTCACTATTACTATTACTATTATTGAATTTATAGTAATACTAATTTAAATGACTAGCGGGATAAAGTATTTAACTTTCTTACACTCTGTCCCCCATGTATTCTTTTTATTACAGATTTTTACTATAAAATCAATGATATTACAACATAAATATTTTAAGATTATAAGAATTTTCTCTATACTGTACTTTTATATATTTTCTGATTTTCACAAACATTATAAAGTTTAAATGTCTAAGGACACATATTTATTTATTTGCACAATAAATCAAAATCATCATTAATTTTTTCATTTAAATTTAATTTTCAAATATTACCTTAATCAATTTAATGATAAGGTAACAAAATGATTTTCAGACAATTTTCAATCACATTTTTCTTTTGATTTTACACATTTTTATGTTTAAGCATTCACAATACACAAATTATTCATGCAATACTTTTAATATTTATTTATACTTTTACTGATACAGATTTTATTTTTACATAAATAAACAAATAAAAACATAAATTCAATAATTAATGACACCACATACATAAAATAAAGTAATATAATAATACAAATAAAATATAAAATAAACAATTAACATGATACCCAACACATTATTAACAATTATATATCTATATTAATGTATGAATTTAATACCCAATAAAATACTTAAGTCATTGTTGTCTTAAAAATATAAAATCATATAACTGAAACATTGAAAAATGAATATTAATAAAAAAAACAAATGGACATACTTTGATGAGTGGGCCACTATTGTAAGTGAGAAATTAAAAAGGTAGAATTTAATGTACATCTGTATGCAAGGAATATTCATTGGTAACAAAAAAAAATTTTATGTGGAGTTCCGTTATATATGTTTTAAAAATTTCTAATATTTATGATTTAAAAATAATTAGTTTCATTTTCCAGTTTTTCCTACATTTTTGCCAACTTTTCACATTTATTAAAAAAAACCCAAGGAAAAGCAAAAAATGACCTCCCTAAAGTATTACCTCAATCAAATTTTTTTTCAGAAGGTGCAGCACTTGAAAATCAGAATACAATTTCTGGTAGAAAAGTTGTTCACAAAAAAAAGAAATAAAAATAAACATTGTAAAATCAATACATTCCTTGTTATGCTCAAAATTTAAAATAAATTGCTGTTGAATTGAACTATTGGTAGAAAATCACTACTTCAATGTAGTACATTATAACTTGCAACATTCCCTCCCCCCTAAAAAAGAGGATTTCCCTACAATCATCACTACTTTTTTTTTTAACTCTACAAAATTTGCTTTTTTAACTTAAAACTAGAAATTTTTGATAATCCAATATTTGATGTTTCCTTTATGAATAGATAATTTCTTTATAGTTTGTAAGTTACATATTTTATTTTACTATAGCATAAAATTAAAATAATATCACTACAAATTATTTAATATTTTATTAAATTTACTACTTCACTATGCTTTTTCCAACCACTACTCTATTTAGTATAAATAGTTGAAATTATTTATTATTTATTATTTATTATTATTTAAGTATAATTTAACTTAAATACTTACTTTTAAATTTCAATTAATGTTTAATAGTTTTATGAAATTGTTGTTAATCTAACTAATAAGTAATGTGAGCAATACAATTTTTCTTAATCTAATAGACTAAATTATGTTTTTAATAAATCAAGAATTTGATTTAAACTTTGTGTTAAGGCATTTTTGAATTCATCTCCATTAGTATGTTCTCGGTAATTTGTAATAATAGCACCAGAATAATCTTCAAGAATTGTGTACCTTAAAAAAAAAAAAGTAAATAATATTGAAATGTAAAATATCTGTAATATTTGTAGTTACAAATTTTATACAATAACACTGAAACAGTTATTATTTATTTTACATTTTGAGTATTTTCAAAATACAAAATAATCAACACAAAAATGTATACAAAATGCAAAATGTATTTCAAATATATTTAATTTAAATACACCCATCTTTAATCATAATAAATTTAAAATCTCCATATCGAGAAATCTTGTTGAAAAGCTCTGAAAATGTTGGGTTTCTTGAAGTGTGTAAGGTTCTTTATTGTGGCCAATTATTGAAGATAACTCTGTTTTCTGGGACCCCCATACTGTGGTGGCCTGCAGGCAATTAGAAAAAGTATACATTTCTTAAGCATGCAGCTTTCCTGCTCAAAATTGATCACCCTCTATATATCTATGACCCTGTTCCTGTAAACATAATTTAGTAAGCTTAGCTGACCACAGACTTTTTTCACTTCCTTTCCACTCTAATAATTACAAACTTAATGAACCAATTCTCCATCTTATGTCTATTGCTAATTCCAACTCTACCTTCTTCTGTTCTTAATGTTTTTCTTAAACCAACAATTTTATCCTATTCGAACCAACATATATATTTTATGCTTAACTTGTAATTTAATGAATCTGAATAATTTATAATTATGTTGATGTTTGGGCGCAAACCTATTATTATAAATAAAAAAATTAAATTAAACTTACCCAATTCCATAACCATCTTTCACAACAGGTCCAAATCCTCCTAGCCACACATAATCTGAAGTCAGACTGGATGTTGACAAAATACTATGATTAATTTGACTATAAGCGACATCGGTAAATAACTCTGCAGTTTTCAAATTATTTTTCATAGCTAATAATCGCAGAGCAAATAAATGCCGATCAAAACCTTGTCCTGAAAATTAAAACAATAAAATATAAAAATCAACAAAATAACATACAAGTAATAAAAACAAGGTTAACAAATCATAAACTTTAAGAGTTCATAATTAGACCTACCCATTTAAGGAATATTATACAAAATACAAATCAAATGTCAGACTGATAACCTCAAAATGTTCAAAAAAAAGTTGTGACAAACACTAGTAGTTGATTTTATTCCTAATAAGTAGTTCACTTTATTATAAAAAATGCAAATTATATAACCTAACATAGTATCATTATATAGAGAAGAAAATAGCTTTTTGAAGATTAAATATAAGATTGTTGTTTTAATTGGTAAATCTTTATATTTAACTTTGATTATTGCAAATATTAAAAGGTATAATATAGAATAAGAATATTTATACTAAAAAGATGTTCTAGGATAATGAGGATGGTTGCAGCCATTGTTTTAGGTGGGAAGTTGGGAAGTTAAGATATAGAAGGGAATTTCATGTATATCTGTAAGCAATGATAAACCATTACTCACAAAAAAACGATTCTGAATTCAGTTAATAGTAATGCTTTGTCAACAATATATATGTCATAATATGGTAAAATATTAAATAATTAAATAGGCATTCGAAAAATAACCTGCTTAAAGTACTACCTCAAGAAAATTTCCTTTTAAAAAAAAATCAACATTGTATATATCAGAGTAAGCTTTCTGGTAGAGTGTTCACATAAAAAAAAATTAACATATTTGTAAAATCAATACATTCTTTGCTAATCTAAAATAAGTATAATATTTAATATATTATTATAACATGGAATATTACAAATAATATAATTTTCTTTTTTTTCTTTTTTGAGCATCATTGAGCATGCTCAATTAATCATACTGCATTAATATTATATACTAAAATATTACCCATAGCAGCTTCTTTTACAAGTTTACTGTGTTCAACTGAACATTGTTTTATCATATTCACTAAGTCATCATTTGAAGGCTTATTTTTACTGGAAACTGCTTGACAGAAATCCTTAATATTTTAATATTTAATTATACATAATTAGTTGTAAATAATATATATTATACACATTTAAAATATATATACCGCAGTCTTTGTAGTACATGGTCTCACAGTTTCTGTCCGTCCATGTTTAAATGCTGCTGTACTACAAGATTCATAAGTACCAACATGCTTTTTATGCAATTTATAATAGCCCAACTAGAATTAAATATTAAATATAATTTTGTATGTTAATAGAATTTAGAAAAATACCAACATCTCTATTATTTACCTGGAAACAAAGTTGCATCAAGGAATCTGCACTAATTCCATACTTTTTACATTTGTTTCTACCAACATTGAAAAATTCAAAGTAATTAATGTCTAGAGATTCATATTTAAATTTGTATTCGTTCAGTGATTTCAAAATATTACTTTTAATTTTTTCATCCAAATTGAATTCTAAAATATTAAATGTATGCATATAAGATTATAAATAAATATGATAAAACAATTTTAATAATATATAATAATATTTTCTACCTCATTTTAAATATATTTTTGTTCAAAGAGTATGTATATACATTTGTAATAATTATAATAATATTGTAGAATGAGTAGGGTTGGGCTTATAGATATTCATCCGCGGATATATTTCTAAACTTTTATATCATTATGTTATACCAATAATGTTATAGACAATATTTGCTTAAGGTGTTCTGTCAAAATTGAATTAAATCTTAAATCTATTGATGAGTAGTCGATGAGTATTCTATTAATATTTTTTTTTTTTAATATACTAGACAATTTATTTTTAGATACTTTATAAAATTTGATATATTTTACATATTATTAACTTATAGGTACAAAATAATCATTAACTTTCCTTAAGTTAATATTATAAGTCGTTTAAAATAATTACCCAATTTTTTTACATCAAAAGTGTCTGAATTAAATTCTTGATTTAAATTTTCTGGATGACACCTAGGATGTTCTTTACTATCTTTAGATATATCTTGAAAATATCTTAAAATAGCAACTCCATCACCCCACGAATGTTCAAAATTTAATCCTGATGTTCCATCAGCACACACTATTAATGTGAATGACTTATCAAACCACCTATGAATAAATATTTCAAGTATTAAAAATCTATATTTAAAATTCTATACTGATGATAGTTGATATTTGTATTAAGCCGAAACTCAACTACAGTTTTGAAATAATAAAACACTGGTGAGCAGCAAACCTTAGTTTTTAAAGTTAAATTTTCCCCCACCCATTTTACATTATAAAAATACACTTTATAAATCAATAAATAACTCAATACCTTAATAATACTGTACTACAACTACTACTTCCAAAAAAAAACAAGATATAATTAAACGTAGTAAGGGTTGAGGTTTAACCCAGGTCGCAGGTTTCAAGTTAAAACCCCCAAAATCTATATCCTTACAACTCCTTGGTTGTTTATTCCATTTATTCCCCCTAGCTTCAATTGGAATGGTTTTTAATGGTGTTAGTAAGTAAATAACACTCTCCAAGGCAACAACAATGTAATATTTATATTCAAATTCAACCCAACTTTATTATTTCAATCCTACTATAAAATAACTACATAATTCCTAAATTTAAACTAATTAGGTTCAGGAAGTGCTCCTAAAAGTACACAAAAGTTGTGAAAAAGACACAAATCGGCAAAAAATGGGTGACAAATAGCATGATGAAAAATGGGGCAGCAGCCTTGGAGAGAAACATCAACGGAATTTTTGATCTCCGTGTGGATCTCGGAGAAGAACTGATAGGAGATCATCTCAGAGGCAGTTAAGAAGTCAGGACTCGTGTGGAAACAAAAAAATAATGGTAATAACAGCTCCAGTATAAAAAAAGTATAAAGTGGCAGAAACTGGTAATATGGTGTCACGCCAAAGGAAAAGAAATTCAATAGAAGATGGTTTCACAGAAGATATCAACTAGGGGTAACATTAGGACAGCAGCCCGGAGGAACCAATGTGGTAAATTAATGTAGAAGAAAGTCCTGTAAGGTTTTAAAAAGAGGCACTGTAGGTGTTACAGCACCGATAGCAAAACCCACATTGAACGAAAATACAAAACATAATAATAAAGAAAGCTGTCCTAGGATAATGGAGACGGGTGCAGCCACTGTTATAGGTGAGAAGTTGAAAAGATATGATACAGAACAGAATTTAATTTGTATCTGTAAGCAACTAATGCTTACTAAAAAAAAATTCTGAGCATAGTTCAGTTAATAGTGATGCTTTGTCAACAATATATATATGTCTATTATGGTAAAATAATTACATATGCATTAAACATTTTCTTTAATAATATTTATTTAATATTGTACCTAATTTCCTGTTTCCCCATGTTTCTCCCATTTATTAGAAAAACTTCTAGGAAAATCAAAACATTACTTCTTTAAAGTACCTACCTTTAGAGTCAGATTTCCTTTCAAAAAATGTGCTATCATTGTAAATTGGTGCAAAATTTCTAGTAGAAAAGTTGTTCATAGAAAAAAAGTCGAAAAAATATTTTTCGACTAATACCTACATTTTATACATTTTTCCGTTTTCACATTTCATGAGAAAATCGGGAAATGACTTCCTTAAAGTATCATAGCAAGAAAATTTCCTTTCAGAAAAGGGTCTACATTATATACTAAATGATCTACTTAAGTGGGTACACTCATCATCTCAGAAAGTATTAACTTTTTCCGGATTTGTTTTCTAGAACATTTAAAAAACAAACTGCTCTACAATTTTATACTTATATTATTTTTTGTTGCCCTTATTTTTGTTGGTAAAACCACTACCTACTTTTGACTTTCAAATGGTAACCTATATTAAAAATTCCATAAATAGATGGAGTATTAGTTAAAATAAATTTTAGTGTTGTCATTTTTGATTTCTGTCAATCTGTTGATGAGATATTCCACTTTTAAATTTAGGTTGGAGGAGAGTAATGGTATATTATAAATTGCTGTACCACCACACAAATGATACTCCAAAAAGAAAAACTTAAAATCAAATTGACCAATGAATCATTTTTAATGTGATTCAGATGCACCACTTGGTATATAGTGTCCTACAAAAATAAACACAATACCCATTGCTATATCTCGCATAGTATTAACTTTTTTAAATAATTTTGTTCACAATTAAGCTCCAGAGTGTTATATTAATTATATTTTGAGAGTGAAACTTATTTTATAAACGGCAACCTATATTAAAAATTTCAGTATTAGATGAAATATACTCATTTAAACATTTTAGTGTTGACATTTTTGTTTCTTGTCAATAGATTGATGAGACATTTTACTTTAAGTTTGGATATTAATGCACTCATAAAGAAAGAAGAAAGCCTTAGTTTCCTCCTTCCAGTATGGAAAAATACTATATCCCAAATAGTTTTTTCCCAAATAGTATATATTTTTTTATCAGAATTTTAAATTTCCTAAATATTATTCAGCTTTATTCAGCTAAAAAGAAAGTGGTTGGATTTTCAATATTATACAAAGATATCAGTGTATCATCTTGAATTATACCAACTCATATGTCTTGAACTTAGACCTGGCTCATAATATTATTGTATATATAACAATAAATAGTATAATTATAATTAATTGTTTAAACTTAAAAATAATTTTTGAAAAAACTCAAATAAATCATCTGGGGAAAAAATAACATTCATCAATAATCGGAAATATACCATTCTGGAAATTCAACATTTATGCAAAATAGATTAATAGTGTTAGGTAATAACAATATTCTGTTAAACAAAAAATAAAGCTGCAACATAGTCATTAGTTTATAAATTAAATGTATACAATTACTATTTTACCTATTGATTCCATCAGAATGTAAATATTGTTTTACACAATTAATTGGATCAGAACCAGGTTCTTCATCATCAAGTGCAATCATCATAAGACTTTCATCAATCAAGCGTAAGGATTTTTCATTTCCTAACTTAATTAGATGATTTCTGAAATAGGCCCAATTATTACGTTCAGTAGTTGTTAGAATACCAATAGGATAATTAGATGGTATAATATCATTTCTTAAAATATATTTTAATTTTGATAACAATAACTCAGGCTCCAATATATTGCCTAAAAATGCATAAAATAAAAATTTTAATTTTAGATTAATTGTAATTAATTGTGAATAAGTGAACACCTTGATCATCTAGTACATCAAATGTATAGAAATGTCCTCGTCTCATCACTATAATGTGTTTTCCAGATGAATTACTATGTAAAATATCTTTGTTGATCTTTGGAATTCGAGTATTATTAAATAATGAACTATATTGAGACATATCTAAAGGGTAAGCCTGAAAAAAAAAATTTTTAATATGAAGTTATAAATAAAAAACAGGGTTAATACTGCTGATGGTAATGGTGGTTCTAGCATACAGCAGGGTGGGAAGCTAAAATGTTTGCTATCAATGTACTCTGGGGATAAAATTGTTAGACCAAACAGAAATGCTTGACAATTTAATAGAAGGTTCATTATAAGTTATACTTAATGATCAAAAAAAATTGAGTAATATAGAATTTTTTTTATATAAGAATTTGAATATCAAATTTTAACAAAAAATCGTAAATATCGGACTAAAACATATAATACCATGTATTAATTTTTAATGCATAAAAAATTATTTGATTATATTAATTATATATATATTGTTGACACAGCCACACTATCAACTTAACTTAGCTGAGAATCATAATGATTTAGCAATGATTAATCATTGCATACAGATATACATTAAATTCTATTCTATATCCTACTTTCCCAACTTCTTATCTACAACAGTGGCCCACAGTATGTCCATCTTTTTTTTTTTTTTGATTCTATATGAATAAAATTGTTTAGTTCAATCAAAAACATTAGATAATTTAATTCTTTCATTATAATTTACATTGATAGTAGTAAAAAAAAAAATGTTGGGTGTTTATTTTCAAAATAATAAAAAATGACATTTCAAAACACATGCATAATACTTATTGCTGTACATGTATCCTCACTACCTTCTGAAAATCTAACCTACAGCAATGGCAAATCCTTTTGAAGTATCAGCTCTTATTTTTAATATTTTTTTTTGTATTATTGTGTATTAGGTTAAAAACAATTTGAGGAATAAAGATTTATATAGCACATATAGCTAACTTATAATTTATATGTTAAGTTTAAAACTTATTTTAAAAAATATGCATAAACTCTAAAATAATTTGTTTTTATTTAAATTGTAAAAATTTGACACATAACTTATGAAACTTATAAAACTGTGTTTTAAGATTAATAAGTTTAAATTTATTGATCAAACTCAAAAAACTATTTTACAATAGTCTATTGGACTATGCTATTGCACTTCAGTGGGTATGTATTTGAATTTTGAACTATGTAAATCGAAAAACATGTCCAATGTCTGGTCTATGCCACACTAGACAATCAAATGCGTTTTATGTGCCATTCTGTCATGTTAATTACTCACTGAGTTAACTGCTCACATTTTATGACTAATAGGTTAATAGTAATAATAATATATAGTTGTTTAATGTATAACTAAATAACTTTTTGTTCAGTTAATGATTTATTTTTCACAATTATTGTATTTCTAACAATACCATGTATTACTATATTTATTGGATGCGGTATTGTATATTTTTTTTATTTGGCTTCAGCTGTTTAAATAAAGGAATAGTAATAATGATAATTACTGAATGAATATTTGATCCTTAAAAATCAGTTTTACAATTTCAAAAAACCAACTTGTTTAGTATGGACAAAAGAAAAAACTAATGTTTGAATTTTGTTCATAAATGGTTTAATTTTTACTCAATATGGATTTATGTTTTGTTATTGTTTCTGTGTCAACTGTGTGTGGACTTGTTATATAATTTATATATGTACTGTACAAACCAATGCTGACAATATTAGAAAGATTCTAAATGGCATTCCATCAAACATATGTTTTGAATTGCTGTAATTTTTACAATTTTCATCAAAATTTGTACTTAAAATACACTTATAAAAAAAATTAGTTGAACCAACTTTTTTATATGCAATTTTATAAAATGTATTATACTTACATTGTACATATAAGCTCCATACCAACTAACTGATTCTGGAATAAATTTCATTAATTTTCGAAATTGGGTAGTATCACTTTTTCTTGGATTGATGTGGAATATTTCAGGTTCTAATAAGTTAGCTTTCAATGATTTGTAAAATCTAAATTTTAAATGTAAATATAATATTAACTACTCCAATTGGGTATAGAATAATCAATACAATAGGAATATATTATTAAAACTTAAGAGGAAACTGAATGTTTGCATTCATTTATAAATCAATAAGTTAATTATATTAATTTATACTAAAAAAAAGAGTACTATAATGTTATCTCGACTTCCAATATATTTCCAAGACTACCAAGTATATGGTTGGTTAACTAAAGCACATAGAGTGTTACCAAGTGTAAACATGTGTTCAAATAATCACTTAGCAAAGCTGTATTTTAATTGATTTTTTAGAAATACAATATAAAAAAATGCAAAAAAAACGTAATTACAAATAATAGTAATTGGTTTTCAGAATATCATATATGACTCTCATGTAATTTATGAATAGCTGGTATCATGAAATGACAAATTCATTATGGTGTGAACAACAATTCAACTTAAATAAATATACAGTTATAGACTGGAAGAATTACTTACATGAAGTATGTACAATGAAAATCGAAAATAAACCACAAGTAAAAATAGTGGTCTAGGATTAGTTGTAGAAATAGATGAAAGTTAATTTTCGAAAAGAAAAGACGTTGATAAAATACTTCCCACAGTGGATATTCAGAAGAATTTGTCACAAGACAAAAGAGGTATTTTTAATGAAAGTTCCAAATAGGGCAACGGGAACACTTTTTGAGGCAATCAAGAATAAAATACAGGAAGGTATCACTATTTATTCAGATTACCAGTGTCCTTTTATTACCAAATTATTAAAAGCATCTGGTTATAACCATAAAACCATCAACTACACTTATAATTTTGTGGACCCAACTACAGAAGTACATACACAAACAATAGAAATCTTTTTAATGATTAATAATTGTGTACAGATATACATTAAATTCCAGTATATATCCAACATTCCAAATTTCCCACCTACAACAGTGGCTGCACCTGTCACCATTATACTAGGACATCTTTTTTAAACATTTTTTGACAGCATAAATACAAAATTGTATCAAATTAAATCATTAAAAATCTGTATATAATAGTAAATTATTAGTAAAGTGGTAACAATACATGTCAACCTTTAGCAATTCAAATACACCAAATATCTAAATATGGCCAACATCTATAGCAGATAGTCTAAGGAATATTTTGGTAGATAACCGGATAGTATTAAAAATGAAATGGTGTTCATTTCAAAAATAAACCAATAAAATATTTTTTAAAAAACACATATAACATTTCAGCTTATTTTTTGATGTTTTAAGTTGTTGAAATTAAAATAGATTAATTATTATTTTTAATTTATATAAATTAGTTGAATAAAAATACCAAGGATGAGTAAAAAATTTAAAAACTAAAACCTAAGCCATACATAATTTATTTAAATTTTCTCGAACAGTTATGTTATAATAAAAAAAAATACTAATTTAAATAAAAATAACATACCTTAATGATGATATTAACAAATTGGCTGTTCGGAGAAGTTGGTTGTTGTATTCATCAACAGATTGCTTAAATACTAATAATGGATTGTAATTAATTGGTAATGGTGTTCTATCTGACAAATACATATTGAACCAATCTTCAGTAATATAGCTGGTATTTGTGTTGAAATTATTTGTTGTTTTCAACATATTTTGTAATATCCTACCATCATTTTGTTCAAAATGTTCAACAATTTCTTTTGTTTTTAAATAATCATTTTTTGATAGTAAAGGCTGTTGAGCTTTAAGATAACGTGCACAGGTTAATTTTAATTCTGGAACCGGAAGTCTGGGCAGAGATCTTTGGAAATGCATTGTAGGTATAATACTTTTTTGTATATATTGATAATCATCAGAGTAATATCTAAAAACCAAAAATGAATAGATACACAACTTCTAATAAAAATTTTAACTAAAAGGAATGATAATAATTGGTGATGCCTTTACATAAAACAATCAAAAAATTCATTGTTACAAACTGGTGTAAATTTCTCATTGAAAAGCAAACCGGTATGAATTTGAGACATTTTTTGGAGTAACCAGTGTTAAAATTAACAAAGCCGATTTAATTTGTCTGCACCATGGCATGCATATGGTGCAAACTATTTACACTGGTTTTATCCGAGGGGATAAAACCCCTAAATGAGGAGGTAAATAAATGAGAGGTCATTTCTCCCTCGAAATAATAAACAAACAAATAAATTATAATAATAATTTAATTGATAACAATTAATACCTATTCAAATTAATTTGTATTAAGTATTTATTAGCGGTAAATGAGAAGTATAGTACAGGTAATCACTAATAATTTAAATAATTGATAGTATTATCATTATTAATTTTGGACAATTGTGGGGATACACCGATTTCCATCATCGAATATCTATACTGGTGTAAAATAAAATAATTGGTATCATGTGTTAGTAAACCGGTACAAAATGTATGGGTATACCGGTTCGTACCAAAAAATTTCTACAATAATTATAATAATATACCACAATAAAATTAAAAAATATAAATTTATAGTTAGGTATTTATAATGCTCAAATAATATATAACTATGCTAATTGTCAATGCTAATCAATGAGAAGAGTTTTATTTAATGTAATCAATTTTTAGTTTAACCGCAGTCTGCCTCCTCTCCCCCAAAAATCTATCCCAGATTCCATCTATTATGAAACATATTATTAAAATGGCATATTTTATATTGTTAACATGTTTGTAACATATAATAATATTTACCTTATTTGGGTTAACATTTTCATTGCAAAATAATCAGTATTTTGTAATATTATCTAAAACAAATCAAATAAAAAATATAATATAATTGCATATTAAAATGAAATGTATTAGAAATGAGTAGGTGCATTATATTATTAAAAATTCTATAAAGGAAATTAGTTTAAAATGCATTTAATAGTTGTATATTTATTATAATTTGTTCAATAGATATAGAAATTAGGTAATTAGTTTATATATTAATTTTTAATTTTTTAATTATTCTTAAAAAATCTGACATTAACTTATAAAATCAATAAACTAAATATTCATAAACTTGCTTCAATTGCATACTATTACCAAGAACAGCTAATTAAATCAATTTTAATATTAAAGAAAATATCTAATAAAACTATTTTATTTTGATGTAATATAAAATAAAAAGGTAATGATTTTAACAGTAATTTTTTAAATTATAAAATTAAATATTTTAGTGCTTAAATAATTAACGTAAAAACAAAAATTCACAAATTAGATACCAAATAAACTTCTAACATAAATTATAACCTGTACCCTATTTTATAAATTATAAGTATTAAGAATTTAAGTATTTACTTATCATAATATTATACCATTTATATTTATATATTTATATTTTATTTATCAATTGATAAATAAATAAATTCATTTTGGGTATAATAATTACAGATATTATTATAGATTTAATGTCTATGGTAATAATATTAAACATAAAAAAATAAAATTTAACAAAGTAAAACCACAAATTATATCATTAAACCCAAATCTTTGAAAATTGGACAATTGAATCACAGACAATTCTATGTTATGTACATACAATGGATTGTATTGAAAATAATATCACTCACTTTTTCTAGTACGTGAGGTTTAATCCACGATTTTTGATTCTTCGAAAACATATTCAAAAATTATTTTTGATTTTTAACAATAATTACACAATTAAAAAGTACCTACAATTTAAAAAAAAAAATGTATTACTTAAAAAATCTATTTGCCAGAAAAATTATAAAAGATCAAGACTTTACAGTCACTCATAAATTACATGATATAATTTATAGATTATTTTTACCTATTTCAAAGTTCAGGAATACCTCTATTGAATTATACAATAGAATTTCACGCGATTTAAAAGACAATAATATTAACATATTAAGTAAATAGACATACAAGTGTATGTACTACTACATTATTTACTATAATGATTATGCGTTTACGACTAATATTTCCATTATCACACAATTAAATTGATAACGACCAATAGATTTGATATAATTTTATATCAAATCATACAAAAATAAATATTAAATAATATAATTATTATTTAAAGATCTTCCTATAGTGACAAAACACTCAAATGGCTGGAATGGTTTTATTTTTTTTATTATGAAAAATTAAGGAGATGTATAACGACCACATCCCTTCCTAATTTTTTTCAGCAATATTTATTTTATAAAAAAAAAAACAAACAATATGTTAAAGCCAATGCATTCTTCACTAAGTATACCTACCTATTCAAAATCTAAAAAACAAATTGGATGCACATAAAATATGCCGACCTACATAAACAGCAGATACGCATTAGTGTAATACAATTAATGTAATATATACTGTAAGTTAAATTTAAATAAAGGAAATTGAAATCAAATTAAAAATGTTTATGTCTAGCTTTTTTTTTAGAAAATGTTTCAATGACATCGTAATTTAATTTCTTTGTCAAATCTGACTATGGTTAATTATTTAACACAGGCACATACCTAGGAATTCTAAAAGTATTGTGTTATTCAAAACCATTAAATTAATAACTTTACGTAAATATAGGCAAGTACTTTATTTTACAATAAAATAAACACATTGCAAGTAAATACTAGTTAATGAAACTACAAATATAACTTTCCCCCTCCCCTAAAAAGGCCATAATTTTGCTTGAATTTTAAAATTTGTTTGGTTGTCAGCCCTTCATTAATAAAATATATAATTCTTACCTAAAATAATTATAGGTATAATAGTTTTGGGTTAGTCAGATAAGGTTAACCTGTTCTGACATGAACTTGAAGTTTGATCTTATTACACTTTTAAAAATATACAGAAAATATCCTTAAATATTTTTTAACCAATAGAAATATTACCATTTTGTATAGTATTTAAACGTTCATTTAATGTTTTGAACATTTTATATAAATACATTTAATTATTTTAATAGTTCTTAATTAGATAGGTAATTAAATTAATAATAATTACATTTTCAATACTTACACCAATACCAGCATTTTAATTGAAATTACATTAAGTTGGTATGAACCTCAATAATTAAGTTCTCTAAAAAGCAATTTACTTGTTTAGAAACTTTTGTTTTTCAATAGTTCAATTATAAGGTCAAAATCTATATTACCTACTCAAAATATCTTTGTTCAAAGCTATAAGCATAAAAGCATCAAATTTATCTTCGTTCATAGTATTTTTCACTTGTAATTATCAGTTATTTTTGGTTTGCAAGAGGACCATGCTGCATTTTGTATTGTTGTTGTTAGATATTGTATTGATTCCTCAAGTTGGTTTGGGGATTTTAAACTAATGTTCAGGTTAATGTCGCTTGTAAGTATCGATTGGAATTTTGTCTAGTTAACTATTCCATTGATTAATGATGGATTCATTAATCTTTTTAGAGGAGAGGTGTCAAGGGTGAGAAGTACTGGCGAGTGGTCTGAGTGAGGATTTGTTAGATTATCTATGATGGTGTTAAATCGGTTCAGTATTTTAGCGACGAATATGTCAAGGATATCTGATTGCTTTTGGGGTGATGTTGGCCAGTATGTGGGGTTTTGGGGTGAGATAATTAAGTAGTTTTTGGTAGTAATAACTTGTCTAAGAGAGTTACCTTTTGGTGAGTTAGATTGACACCCCCATTGGGTGTGTTTGGCATTGAGGTCACCACCAACAATAAAGTAATTACCAAGAGAGTTGAAAAATTGCTCAAATAGTATTGTAGAAATGATTTGGTTAGGGAAACAGTATGCTGCAGAGATGGAGATAGGAGAATGGTCTAGAGAGTAATTTGGATGGTAAAGGATTGTATATGGGGTTCGCTTAGTTGAGAGACGTTATGAAAGAGAATTGTAGATCTAATAATTATCGCCGCTCCCCCGTGTACGGTACCGTCTGGGTGGTTTGATCTCAGTATTGTGTAGTCGGGAATGTGTATTTTTGTTCTGTTAGTGAGATGTGTTTTAGATATCAGAGCTATATATATACGTTTGTCGTGAAGTACAAGTGAGAGTTCGGCGATATGATTATGAATACCGTTGGCATTCCAAAGGAGTATGAGCAATGATTTGGAGGTTGGGGTATTATTTGTAAAATAAATATTTAAGCAAATAAGTATAGTGAAATGTATAATACATACATAACATTTAAGCTAAAGTAATAAAAATATTATTTAAAGCATTACTTGAAGGAAGCGCGAATAGCCACTTATAATCTAAAGTTAGACGTTGATAAATAGGTACATCACTATAAGCTTATATTTTATCAGTGCATTTAAACAGAAAACAACACAATTTTTTTCAATAAAAGATTTTTGAAAATATTCATATCATATCGCCTTGGTTTTCATCATCAAAACTTTATCAATACCTATACAATTCGGGTAGAGATATTTGTAACTTATTCCAACTAGAGGTAAAATGTAATCCGAATGGATTTCAAATTATTTAAATTTTTAGTACAGTTTTTGCATCTCATGAAAAAATGTGAAATGACACCCCTATACATAATAGGTTAGGTTAGATGCAAGTATCAAAGATCCGAGGACTATAAATTTGTCTTATACAAATCACTAAGGTTAGGTTAAAGTGATTTTAGATATATGTATAATGTTGTATACCACTATGTTGTATACACATGTAGGAATCTGTTGCATATAAATATATATATATTGCAACATTCTAAAGTTTTTTAAAATTGCATTGGCTAACAAAAATTCTTAGAATATACCGGTATTATAGGATATACAATTCTAATTAGCTCATACACTTACTGTATTACTTTATGCAATAAATAACGACACATCATTTTAAATGAAAAGGATTTTCAGTGGAGTTATTAGATGTAGATGTAATAAGTAGGTACCTACCTATAATATATAGGTACCTAAATATTCAGGATTTTATTCCAGTGAGGTTAAGATAACGATAACTCAAAATTCAACAAAATAAAACTAATATATTGATATTTGTTGTCAATATTTTATTAAATTGTTTAGATAATCTATTAGGAATCTAGAAAAATATGTTAATTAAATTCAAAAAATGCAAATCTTTTATTATGTACATAATAATATGATCAGAAATATTCCGAGAAAAAAATTATTCTTCACTTTACTAAGAATAATTTTCTTCACTAAGCGCTCAGGGGCGGGTGGGCATGATCTGGACGGCCCGGGAAAAATACAATCTAGCAGCACACATGATTATATATCCAAGATCCAACAAAAAAAAAATACCTCAACCTTAAGTGCACCAACACTCACTTATTTTTTTGTTGAGAAAAAAATATAAATTTAATATTACACTATTCTAATATCAATAAAAAGTTTAGGGTGCTGAAAAAAAGTTTTCCATATACCTACCTATATGAAGTTCCAGAATTTTAATTTGGTATAATAAAGGAGGAGTTTAAATAATAACAAATACATTTTTATTTTTATTACTTATATTTATTTTGTAAAATAAATGTATTAATAAAGAATTGTTTCTGAATAAAAAAAAATGAAAAAATGATTATAATTGGCAATTTTAATCAATTCTCCAGTCCCTAAGTGAAAAAAAAACCTGTTATATACTGACGATAAATTTTGTTCTACTATCTAATACAAACGATTGGGCCCAAGAAAAATGGCCTATTTTAAATTGGGGGAGCCGTGAAAATGTACATGATTAAATTGTGTATATAAAGCATTTGTACATTTTGTTTATGTATCCAATAATAATAATTATAAATTTATAAATAACATTAAAAGCTGTAGTTATTTAAATAGGAGTAAATTATAATATGAACAAATTTACTTCCCTAAACTCCAGAATTTAAATCCAAATAGACTGATACATATAATACTAAGTAAGATATATGCAAAGTGACAACGGAAAGCCAAAAACAGAATGTACCTACCAACTAGTGATTATAGTTAAACGAAATTTCACTGTAGCGTCAGTGTTCAAGAACTGTGTACTATAATAAACGTGTAGGTACTTTTATTTAGGTATATTAGTTGATGACAGCTGCTGTGATTGTGAGTCAAACTTAAAAATAATATTCAAATTTCAAGATAAACACTAATGATGGTGGACAGTCGATAACGCCGCTACGTGACTTTGTTTATAAATAAATTGGGCAGGAAATACAATGATATTTTATTTTGAAAGTACAGTATTATTATTTTTTTTTTTTTTATTAACTTTGAATATTCGTGTTTATGTACAATAGCTAATAACAGTATTTGTCATCGGCCCATCTTCGTCAATGTAAGTAGCGACCCATCTGGAGAATCCCGGTGTCCCGATGGGCCTGTCTGCCCCTGATATACATTAAATTTAAAACTTTAAAAGTCTAAAATACGTACTTAACAAAAATTCTATACTTAGGAATTTCTAATTTTTAAAGAATACTGTTATTTGATGCATAGATCAAATTATTACGTAGGGTTAAAAATCTAATCCCTGGCTCAAAGTACATTATGATTTCAAAATACGTCAAGGATATAGAAATAACATAGGTAAGTAGCAATCAGATGGGCTCAAGATTCAAAATATCTTAAACTGTGGTTGAGCTATAAGAGTTAAGCAACTATATTAGTGGCGGATTTACCGGGAAGGATGTTTGGACGCCCCCAGACACTGATATAATTTTAATAAAATGTCGTCCAAAAAAGAATCATCTATTAACAGAAATTGGTAAAAAAAATCTTATGTATTTATATACGATTTTTCAAGACACCTCCGAAAAAAATGTTGAAAATCCGCTACCTATATATATAGTATTATAGTTTCCAGTTGGGGATTGTTAAAATCAAGAATTTGAAGTTTATCTTGTGCAACTAGACCACCAGCCTTGGGAATGCTAAAATTATAGACACATCACAGTCCCATAGAGGCGATACCCCCACAACACATTTTAAACGATACTTATCATAAGCAACCACACATTTTATTTACAATTTTTTATATAAAAATGTATAATAACTTTTTTAACTGTCTTTGTAGGTAATTTGTATTTTGTTTTGCTTGTTAATTATGAAATACATGAATAAAATATTTAGTTTATACTATAAAACAACGTATTGGGTATTTTTGGGGGTACTTAAGACCTTCTAGTAACCCCTTAGTTGCGCATATGGTAGGTACCTATATTGTCATTTTATATTAATTATTAATACCTCATATATGATTAAGATCAACATTTATTTTAATTTAATAACTAGTATATTATATGTAAGATTCTTTCTTGTATCTACGTATATGGCAATAAAAAACAAAACTAGGTCAAGATTTTCGGTTATGTTTTAACATCAACAATTTTACCTTGTAGATTTACTAACCGGATGGTTATGGCAATGTTATTTCTTGTTCTTATTTCACATTACGTTTAAAGATACCTAAACAAGTAATATTTATTGATTGATTATTTATTACTAATTTTAGATTCTGAGCAAATGTATATTGGTTTTACAATGGATGATAATTTTATATTTTTTTATTCTGTGTAGATACATAAATTCTACTAGAAATCTTGCTTCGTACCCTTTCCAGGGTAGTACTTTAGAGAGGTAATTTTTTGATTTTCTCAATAGATGGAAAAAACCGGGAAAATGTACGAAATTTAGGTATTGTTTGTAAATATTACGGTCCATTTTTCCTTTGAAGAACTTTTCTACCACCAATTTTGCTCAGATTTTCAAGTATAGGACTTTTTATAAAATTAAATTTAATTGGGGTGGGGTACTTTAAAGGGGTTATTTTTAATTTTCCCAGCTGTTATATTTATTATGTTCATAATAAATAGGAAAAATCGGGAAAATTTATTATTTTCAAAACATGTAAAACTGAACTATTGAATCTAATTAAAACTATCAGAATCTGTTTTTGTTAGTGATGGTTACCTAATTGTTGCGTACAGATATATATTAAATTTCCCCTCTACCTTTCCTAACTTCTCACCTACAACAGTGACCCACTCATTGTGAGAAGTAGTATATTTTTTTCTTTTAGTTTTAAAACTTTGATAGTTATTTAAAGTAAATAAGTATATGGGTTGTTAATTTTATAAGATAAGGTTGGCAATCTGTATATCTCCTCTGTTTTCCTCGAGTAACTTTTATAACTACAGTAATTGAGACCGTGATTATTAATAATATAATACAGATATAACATCTATAACAGGTAATATAAAAGTGGATAAAAGGCCCATGAGCCTCGAATTAAAAGGATTGAAACTTCACTTCTTATTACAATGATGGTTAGCAATCTAGTTACATTAGTTATACAATGAAGCTTCAAAAGTAATGAATGAATATGATTTTGACATAAACCTGCCTTAAATAAGTACCTATATGTTAGAATCATAGATCTAACCCACCACATAACTCTACAGAAGAAGACTATCCTAGGTTATTACAAATTTCATTACTTGACAATATTATTGAATCTACAAGGAACAATTTATTAAAACAAAAAATAAATCTATTGGTTTTAATGGCACTCAGACTAATTTATTTTTATTTATTTATTTCAATCACAAATAAAATAGAATTATTAATTGAATTTGAGTACCTACTTGAATGTACAAAAAGATGTTCTTGATAAACAATTATTGATTTTGTACCTTAATAACAGTTTAAATAATTTAAAATTGCTTATTGTGACTGCTGCTTTCTATTTTCTGATCATTTTCAGCAAGTAGAAATAAAAGGTTATGGTTTGAAAGTACAAATTATTTGCAACAGTTATCTATTGTACTTTCAAGTTTATGAAAGTTCACCTGTTTATGAAATTAATTTTTTTTCATTTCAAATGTATTTGATGGTCTATAAGATAGGAATTACTCTTTTTAACAAAAGCAGTGATATATGACTGTACTTTTGACAGTTTAATTAAAGTTTTTATATTTGAAAAAGATGAACTCTACCACACCAACGTTAAACATTTTATTTTCATTTTAAATTAAGTAAATTTCCATTTACATCATGCATATGTATTAAACTTGTACTTTTTATTTATATAAAACAGACTTTTATAAAAATATAATAATAATAATAATAATAATATTTTATATTACACTCCTTCCTCCCCAGAAGTTACAGTAAAATAGCAAATTTAATTTTAGGTTAATACAATTTTCTTTCCATTGTAACCTTCCTTTTGCCCACACATTCTATTCTCTTAGTAACATGCACTTGATTTATATAAAGTTATAGTGTAAAATTATACATAATAACACACTGGTGCCTAAAATGTATGTAATTTATTAACACCCAAATAATAATTCTAATAATTTACTCACTATTTTTTTTTTTATGAAACAGGGGATGATTAAAAAAGAGTTTATACTACTGATAGTTTACACCATCAGTAGTGAAAAATGATATAATTTGTGTTCATTGACACATCTGTTGTACCTATATGAAAACATAATTTTATTACAACAAATTTCTAATATTTGTAATCCTTTATGGCAGAATAGTTTGCATTCCCCAATAAAATCAACCACTATGTTATAAGTAAAACTTATTATTTATTTTATACTGAAATTTGTATTTTATAATATTGAAAAAAAAAAAAGAGTAATAATAAGTGTTGATTTGAATTATGTTTGTTGTTGTGGTCTTACAAGTGCTTTTATTATTTTCATATTGCCTGAAAAATAATAAAATAAAGACGATTTATTAAAAATTATTATTATAATTTCTTAAAAAATAAAAATAATTAAATATAATAACATTACTTTCAACAAAATTGAAAATATTATTCAAACTTTTAGCAGTGTTATAATCTTTTCGATTTCCTGGATTTATGTTCAATGTAAAGTCTGGACCATAAACCGAAAAGTACTGAAATAGAGTATATTTCATTTAAATAATATTATTTGTTTTAAAAGTTAATCTTTAGAAAATAAAATCAAAAACCGGTTGGGTTTTTACATTCCATTAATTATATTATAATATAAGTGACAACACTGTTTATCTACTGTTTTAACAGTTAATTAAAATTTGATTATGGTATGAGTTTTCTGAGTGCTAATTTTAAATAATAAATACCTCATTATCTGGTATATCAGTAAATAATGTATTATCTTGTCCAGTAATTATAGCTGTTAATAATGTCCAGCAACGAGCAGCATTTGACTCATTATAACCACCTATTAAAAGAAATATGTTAGTTAATGAATTTATTTTTATTGAATTACACTTAACTCAATACACTAGTCACATAAAGAATTTCTATAAAATGAGAATTAGTAGTAAAAAACAATTGTAAAAGACAAAACAAAAATATTATACATAAATGTTTTTGATTCCCTCAGGGGAACAAGTTCTTATGTGTTTATAGGTTTAGCAGAATGGGGGGGGGGAGCTAAGCTTCCTTTCAGGGTTTGGAAGGTTGATCACAGGGCTGATAATCCTGCATCATAAAACCTTTTTGTCAAGAAACCACCAACATTGCCTACATTGCAAACATTGCCTTAGATAATTGAATCCAGAGAACTGGATCACTTGGTATATTGAGATTAAGATATGGTATTAAGGTCATAATTTAGAACATTTTGAGTTTGTATAGAACAGGGGCCTGTTAGACTTTAGTAGATACATTAAAGGATTGAAAATACTGAACTAATTTCTATTGTTAAAAAATGCATTAATTGTCAACAATTCTAGTGGTTTGGTCATACTATTAGTAAAGCAGTACGAGAGCAGCAATCGAAGAAGGCATAGGAAGCGGTGGATGGATGTAATAAAGAAAGATTTAAAATCACTGGAAGTGACAGATTAGGAAGATAGAGTCCAGGATTGTGATAACTGGAAAAATGTGGCCAACATTTTTACAGAATTATAAATCCAAGAAGAAGAAATATTTTTAATAAAATATTTACTTATTTCAGTATAAACATGCACTTTTCTGTGTTTATTATAAAATCTTATTAAATGTTATGAGAATCATAATTTATTGTTAAAGAAAATTCCTTCCTCTTCAGAATTTTTTATTTAAAATTGAGTTAAGTTTGTTACCAAGTATTACATAATATTTTACAACACATTATAATAAAGAAAGAATGTTGACAGTATATATAAAACTTTTAGGGACATTTTTACTAACATATACAAAGACCTTTATCTAATTTTGAAATTAAGTTAATAGTTTCCCTAAAAACCTTATAAACTCAAATAAAATTAAAAACAAATAAATCTAAACAAACTTTATAAATTGAAATTGGACAATGGAAAGTATGCCTTTTTACTGCATATGTATATTGGTCTTAAATGGCATCTGTAAATAATCTATAATAATAATCTGTAAAAAACAGCCATTCTTATTAAATTAATATTAGGTAGTAGATTATTGGAAAAGTTGTAATATTAAGATAGTCATAAAAGATAAAAATAATTTTCAAATTCAAGAAAATTTGAAAAATTTCTTCCAACCCTCTTAATGAGAATGTATATCTAACCATAAAATAATAGATAATTTTCTTTCAAATAAATATAAAAATATTAAAGGAAATATAACATATAAAATGTTTTTTTCAAATTTTTATTTAATTTTTTCATAAAACCATTAAAACATACAGCAGTTTATGAATGCTCATATGTGTATAGTATGTACAAGTGTTAATAAAATAATAATAAAACATGTATTACCACCACCAACAAATAATGTGGGCAATTCCCATTTCATTACATTCTTAATGCATTCAGCATGTGCTTTTGGAGTTAAATTAAATCCACCAATTGTATCGCCTACTAAACTATCAGCACCACATTGAACAACAACACATTTTGGATTGTAGGAACTATACACCAAATTACTGATTCTAATTTGAGTTAAAATAATATTAAGATAAATTAATAAAGTGTAGAATTTAAATCAAGTTTAAATAAAAATAAAAATATTACTTGTGAAAAAACTTTATGTATTTATCATCAGGTATACCTTCTTTTAAGGGTACATTCACAGTATAATACTTTCCTTTATCTTGTCCAATATCATTTAATGATCCACTTGTTGGGTAAAAACCAGGTTCATATTGATGAAATGAAAGTGTAAGAACTCTGTCCGTAGCATAATATGCATATTCAACACCATTACCTAAATGGTTTTTTTTTTCAAGATTAATTCATGAAAAATAATACTATAAGTAAAAATTAACTAGTGTACCATGGTGAACATCAAGATCAATATACAAAACTCTTCCAAAAGTTTTTCTTAACGTCTCTATGGCTAAAACTATATCATTTATATAACAAAAACCTTGAGCAGAATCCCTAAAAATTAAGTATACATACATCAAAATACATAATATAGATTCATAAATTAATAGTAGATTTATCTACAAAACATGTAGTCTACCAAAAAAATGTATTAATTATTAATACCTCTTGAAAAAATATTATTAAACTTAGTTGTCTACTAATTAAATAGGTACTAAAATGAGTGAATAAATATTATTATAATAAAGATAAGTTCTTAATTTTAATTTGTAGACTACATATTTTTAGATGGTCAATAGTAAAGTATTAAACCTCAAAGCGTGATGCCAACCACCGCACCAGTTTATAGCAAATCTGTATTTCATAGAAGTTAATGATTCTGCAGCTGTCAATGATCCACCTGCAATATATGTACTAAATTGCCATATATTTTTAAGTGCTGGACAATCATAACCTAGAATATATATAAATGTTAAAATATTCTTCTTAACATTCATCTTTATCTTATGCCGGTATTTTAAAGTAAAATAAAAATTGAATATTATATTTATTTGAATGAACACTATTTGGCTTTTGAATAATATTATATGTTTTTGCAATATTAAATGAACACAGAAAATTTATCCTTTATACAAAATAAAAAAGCAAAACACTCATACGAGGGCAAATCAAAAAGTATCAAGACTGGTAGTATCATTCGGAAAAGGAGCATCGAAGGGCAGTAGGATTGGTATCACTTGCTTCTATAACTTTTTCTGAGTATATTTGTTTTTATTGCTTCTCTATAAAATTCTTCGGTTTGATTTCGCTGATATTTTTGTAAAATATATTTTTCGAGTTTGGCGATTTTGTAATAAACCCAAAAGAAGAGTAACTTGACAGATTTGGAGATTTTAGAAAATTTGTCTGGGATTTTTTTTCCAGTTTCAGAGGGATGCAACATTTCATGGTTTTTGCCATTAAATGTCAATTGAAAAACTGAAAATATGCCCTCGAGTGGCAGCAAGTCCCGCTTCTTTTGGATTCATTATGAAATCGTCAAACGTGAAAAACAAATTTTAGAAAAATATCGTCAAATCAAAACGAAGAAGTTTATAGAGATTTTATACGAATAGATGTGCTCAGTCTGAGTCATAGAAGCTAGGTTTACAAATCGTTTTGCTCTTCAACGCTCGGTTTCCGAGCAATATTATCAGTCTCGATACTTTTTGATTAGCCCTCGTATATATTATTATATGATTATGGTTTTGTTTTAAAAAACTTGAAAAATAAACTATAATAAAATCAACCTATAAGAAGTCCTAAATAATTGAACCAAAGAAAAAAATTAAATAAAGGATTATTTTCCTTAATTAATAAAATACCATTCAAATTTGTTCAATTATTCAATTATGGGCTATGATATTATATTATTTGGTACTATTGTTGATATTATTGTTTGTACTAGTTTCTTAATAATTAATAACATTAATAACCTATTCCATATTCATCTCCATCATCGGTAGAATCATCCTTATCATTTAGATTCTTTAAGTAATCAATATATGCGCTAGAATGAAAATCAATGAGATTTTCGTATGTTGAAGGCTTTACTTTAAACACATCCATGTGATTGGTAAGTCCATACGCCTTAATGAGACTATCAACAAAGTAAGCCTAAAATATAAATACATTTTTATTAAAAAAATTATATTTTTTAATTAGTTAAATAATATCAGAATTAAAAATCCTTATAATTTAGACTATAATCAAATATCTACTTATCTATAATTAAAAAAAATTCAGGAATAGATAGATATAACATTTATTTTTCTTAATCATTTAATTTTATTACTGTCAATTTCAGTGCTAAATTTAAAATTAGCCGTTATTTGAATATAGTTGTATTCAATTAGATTAAAAAGAACAATTCAACAAAATTTTCCCATAAAAATTTTTTAAATTATGTACCTACCTATTTAATATTTTCAATTTTATTTAAATATGAATTTAATTTATCTAATAATTAAATACAGCAACTTTAGATCAGTAATATTAGTTGTGCAACAACAATTAAATACTTTTAATTAAATGTTGAGCACATAATTACCGTCAAAGTGAAAAAACGAAATTGATTTAACCATGGTTACTAATCCTCAGATTAGAAAAAATTGGACACATTATTATAACTATCAAAAAGTTTTAATAAACTCTGGCACACTAAAGTGAGCAAGAGTCTGTGTGCCTTGAACACAAACCATTACCTAGGTGGCTAGTTATATTGAAATAACTTGTTTAATTGAATTTGTTTTAGAATGTATTATTTATTAGTTTAAGGATAGAACACCACTAAAAAAAGTATAAATTATAATTTTCAATTTTATGATTGAACATTATTTGAATAATATCTATTATGGAAATTATTCCACAGAATATGTAATCCCAGTCTATAAAACTATGTATTTGTATTATTATTTGTACAATAACATTGAAATAATGATATTCTCTAAAGTGTCAGGTCTTACTCTCTGTGGGACGTTTGGTATTTTGCAACATTCTTCGAGTAACTGTGGGTCGGAAATGTAACACACATTATGGTCCATTTTTTATTTAAAACACAAATATCTTCCGTGGGTAAGTTAAATCGTGTATATCGAATAAAAACGAACTATTCAAATCAATAAACGTTCGTCATTTTGATTGGTTTTTAGGATTTTTATAACTGAGGAGAATAACAAAATAATTAAAATTAATTATAATAATAAAAAAAAATGTTTGGCTTATATTATAAATAATATGATCATTGATCAATAAACGATGGCGTCTAGCGTCCAGCGTCTTGTCCCTTATCGTGAAAATTGTGATATGAATACGTGAACACGGTTATAACCATATCGTGAACGACAAAAAGATTTGGCAACACAGCATTCGCTTGAAAACTATTGATCCATCCCAACACACAAAACTCGTAATGAGACCTCAATAAATATAGTATGATATAGTTACGCGTATAGTTCACTAGGGGTGACTAAAATGTGTCTCGCGAATTCCAAACTTCGATTTCCCGAGAATACAAAATAATATTATGGCCAGTTGGCAGTTGTAGCGTGTTCAGGAATTTTTAATGGGAGAGATGTATCTAATAAGAATTGTGAATAAATCGTAAAATCGTCTTTTTTAACTCGACTAGGTATGGTAATAGGTAATTAAAAACTCGGATCCTAAAAAAAACAATTTTTATTTTTCTAATCAATATATGAAGTTTTCTCAGATAATTTGGCTGAAATATTATATGCTAGAAATTCGTTGGTATAATCGGTGTACAAATGCATTTTGTACCAGTTTACTAACACTTGATACCGATTACTTTACACCAATATAGATATTCGACTATGGAAATCGATGTATCCTCACACTTGTCCAAAATTAACAATGATAATACCATCAATTAAATATTAACCAATATTTAAATTATTAATGTATTACCTGTATTATAATTTCCATTTACCGCTAACAAATACTTATTATAAATTAATTTAAATAGGTATTAATTGTTATCAATTAAATTATTTTAATTAAAATGTATCTGTTTGTTTATTATTTCGAGGGGGAAATGAGAGGGGATGAAACCGGTGTAAATAGTTTGCACCATATACATGCGATGATGCAGACAAATTAGACCGGAGTCGTTACCACTAATAACACCAATTGATTAATACCAATTACTTCAAAAATTTCTTTGGAACTCACTGGTTTTATCAGGGTTTTGGGTTGATATCTTAATGTAGGTAGTCCAAATTTCATAAAATAAATTACCGCATTATATAACTTATAACATTCTTAACTGTTCTATACAGCAATAAAAAACTAAAGATTTCATATTTTTCACTTTAAAATATTTCTTTTCAAGTTTCTTAGATGGTTGCAGTTTTCTTTTAAGATGAGTATTTCTTTCTTCCTCCTCTTCAACTATTATACTAAGGCTTCAAGCGTGCATTTTAGCTTTGTTATATAATACTGAGTAACTTGCATCTGATCTCAGGGTTATTAATTTCTTGTTAAATCAACTAGATTTATAGCTGCTAGTAATATGATTTTTGAATTTTGTAACTCGATAAACAATGAATGGTTTCAAAAAGTTTTTCCATAATATGTAAAACTAACACAAATCGAAATGATGACACTATCTCTACTAGACGAAACTGGAGTAAAGATAGTAAGTTTGACATTTGATGGCTGCTCTACTAATGTAGCTGTAGATAAGTTTTTAGGATGTAATTTAAATTTAGATAACTTAGTAATTACATTTGTGTATAGTAATAAGGATATTGATATGCCCATAGAAATTATATTAGATGCTGTATATATGCTTAAGTTAGTTATGAATGGTTTTGAAGAAAAAAAACAGTTATTAGATTGTGAAAATAAAATAGTTGATTTTTGATTGTATAGAGAAGTTTTTTATTTTTAAAAGAAAAAGAAATTTGTCATTTAGGAAATAAAATAAGAAAACAGCATATATTTTTCTTAAAACAAAAAATATAGGTTAAATTAGCTGTTCAGCTTTTAAGCTAGTCTCTTGATGATGCATTACAATTTTGTAAAAATAATCTAAAATTAAAAACATTTTTTAATTTCTGATGCGACAATAAAAGGTATAGAAATATTTAACGTGGCATTTGATATTTGTAATTTTAAATCTACTATTGCGATAGAAAATAAAAGGCTCTTCGTAAAGAAAATTTTAATTATGTTAAAGGTTTACCTAAACATTTTATTAATTTTGTAAAAGATTTAAAAGTCAAAGACAATGTAAGTAATAATATATTTATTCCTGTTTTACAGTCTAAGAGGAAGACAGGTTTTGTAGGCTTTATTACAACTTTAAATTCTACATTAAATTTGTTTAATCGGTACATAGATAATTTATATTTCATTCGGAACATATAGATTAAGTCAAGATCACCTTGAATTATTTTTCGGAACTATACGGTCTCATGGGGGTACAATAATAATCCCACTGTAAAACAGTTTTGCGTAGCATACCGAAAAATAATTATAAAGACCAATGATGTACAAAATTTCAATACTGGCAACTGTATATCTCTTAAACACATTAATATTTTACATTACAGTAGTTCCAATCCTGTTTAAGTAATTTATTGTAGTACTACGTATGATAATAACATTGATGACGATAATAACACAAATGTTGATTCTTTTATACATGATTACAGTTACTTTGTTGGCCAGAACACTTATGAATTCAGTAAATTTTCTAAAGAGGTTATTATTTATATTTCTAGTTTTGTAGTGCATAAATTAAACTCAGTTATTAAATGTGAAATATGAGTATCATCATTATTTTCCTACAATAAACAAGATTTTTCTAATTCACTTATTACATTAAAAACCGAGGAGGTAATAAAGGTGGTAATACGTATCCAAGTGACGATGTGATGTTAATATGCTTGCAAACAGAAAAAAAATTAAAATCATATAATTACCAAAATAAAGCAATCAATTAATTATTTATTTAAACAAAAGTTCTTTCTCATTTTATAAATAATGATTCAATTTTCGATTCTTTAAATAACCACAGCGCAGACAGTAATAGTTCATTAACTGACCACTTAAAACACTTAAACCATATATAATATTCATTGCAATAAATATCTCATGGAAATAATTGATATTTATTTATTTATTTTAATAGATACACCAAATTAAATTAATTATTTAACTACTAGAGATTATTGTTCTTAATTATTACTTACATGTTACAATATTGTTTAGTACTGGTAGAAGTGAGTACAATAATTATTTTATTCTAAAAGTGACTAGCCTGCCGAGAGTTCACTTGCGCTACTCTATAAAATTTAATGGCGTATTTATCTTACTCTTTGAGATATATCCGTGGCTCATTCTTATTGTGCTTATAAATAATAATATTATATTTTTGTTATCATTTTTCTTATGGTTGACGGTCAATACTCAATACTAATATTGTTGGACCAAAACAAATATTTGTGACATAAAACACGATACCACAATATATATTTTTTTTTTAATTCTTACACAATATATGATATAAAACACTTAAGTATATTGGCGCTTATATTTTATTTTTGGCCGGCCAAAATAGAGGTTTTAAAAAAGGTTGGTTCAAATGCACACTCTGTACCCACCTCCAAATAACGAACTTGCGGCCTGCTTTCCTCTTTATAATATTATTAGTATTAGTATTAATAAAGATATAAATAAACAATAATAATAGTAATAATTTAAAAAAATATAGAATTAAAGATATATATTATGTATACAATTCCAATTAATTTTTAAAAAAATAAATTAAATAAACAACATATTAGTTCATAAGTTTGTGGATTTAATCAATTTGTTGATAGGAGGATCCAAATAATCCAGTTACAATACAGTTGAGACAGTCAATTGTTATTGTAGACAGCCAAAAGTATTCAACAAATTAAGTTTATTTAAAGGTAATTAGATATAGTAAATCACATGATTTTCTTAAATGTAATTAACCTATTAGGATTATTTTATATGACTTCCATATTGAATTAAATGTAGGGTTTGGAAAAAACTGATCATTAATTTTCTAAGTAAAAAATACCTTTCAAATCGATGTTTTTTATTTACACTAAATATAATATATTTTATTTTGGAGGGTGGCCAACTGTATTCTAAAACAACAATGACTAAACTGTATTTTATTTGTGAAGACCGAAGACCATTCCACATTGAATAATAAATAATAATTACTATTAAAATTATCAATTTAAGCTGTAATATTATTAGTACCTTTTTATATCTTTCCTTTATATACGTTTTTTATTAATAGGTAGTACCTATTTATATCTTATTATTGTTTAAAGTTTTAATTGAGTGTTTGTAAAATTTGTTGATACATTTTATTTTTTTGTATTATATGCCAATATGTTTATGCATTAATGTGGTTATTTAGAAAATAAAATAAAATGTCATTACTAAGTAAATTATGAATTTATGATTAACTTTTATTATTTTAAATTATTTAACCTGCTTTATTGTGTTCCTTAATTTATGAATTTATAGGTATGATTTTTTTTTTACTGTAAACCTGCCATTTAAACTTAGTTTTTTATTTATTTTATAAAACATTGTATGTTATAGTTACTGGCGATCAGGATACTGTTGTTGGTAAACCCTATACATGCATAGTAAACATATTATTATTTTATTTCATAAGAAGTATATATAAATTGTAATTTACATATTTACAGATTTTTTTATTCTTTAACGGCATGGTGTAATAAAATATTGTAAATAATCATATTTTGTAGTAAACAACACATAGCATGTTAAGATAGACTACTATTGTAGATGAGAAGTTGGGAAGGTAGGATATATAGAGGACTTTAATGTATATCTTTAAGCAAAGTTAAATCATTGCTAATGAAAACTGATTCTGAGGGGAGCTGGGTAAGATACTGTTATACCTGCATCTACTGTTTCAGTCCAACTACCAGGTAACATGCAAAACTATGCTTACACAGAATAAGTAAAACCAGCTTAATTTTGATTTAAGAGTAAAAGTACCTATTATGAAATGTATAGCAAATAATATTTTAGAGGGAATGTCATAAAGATTTTGTATTTTTCAAAATGTACAAAAATCTTTTCTTTTTTTTTCTTTTCAAATAACTGTAACTTTTATATAGTTCATAATTTAAAAAATATCTATGATGTCCCTCCAAAATATTGTTCTCTATAAATTTCATAATAGGTACTTTTACTCTTTAATCAAAATTAAGCTGGTTTTACTTATTCTGTGTAAGCATCATTTTACATGTTATCAAATAGTTGGACTGAAACAGTAGATGCTGCCATGCCGGTATAACTTCCTCTAAATAGTATTGTTCTTTTAACAATATGTATGTTATATTGTAGTAAAATAAATATATATTGAAATAATTTGTTAGGACTGGTTACTATATTTGTTCCTAGAACTTGTTTGTTAATTTTTTCATCTTATACAATTTATTGTATATCTTTCTGTGATTTTAATTCTATTTTTTTTTATTTAAGAATTCACTAATAATTTTTAATATTTTATGACTAATTATACAGAGGTGGCCAAAAGCCGCGTAACGTCTACCGTCTCATATGGAACGCGAGTTACGGCGCAGTTTCTCCCTCCACGTCGTTTCCGTTACGTCATATTGCAACTTTGGTCTCGTTACCTTGTTTACATACAACAACAAGGTTTATAAAAAACAACATATTTCACATAAAACACAACAGTTCTATAAAAACTGTATTGCAAATTGTTGCGCGACTTTTGGTCACCTCTGTATTAATTTATATTTATTATACAGAATTCACTGTTCAAGTATTGCTACAAATAAAAACACTATAAAAGTTGACACAATACAATATGTAAATATCCTGGTATAACATTTGACTTGAGAAAAAAGTAAATTTTGAATTTTGTTAGAAACTCATATTAATGAATACTATTTCTTTTGGTCAACTTGTACTTAGAATGTCGATTGTTAGTTAAATTGAGATTGCACATTACGAATTAATAGTTTTCACATGTTAAGTGATGTTAATTTTGCCATAAAAAAAACCTGGTTTGGATATAAATTAATTAATTTAGTAGGTTTTAAATAACCACAATATCGGTTTTTTTAGCAATTTCCACTACAATTGAAATTCAATTTTCATTTTGTGTTTTTAATATATCTATTACCTATGCATACTGTCGTTTCTAGATTATTTTGTTTAATATCAGCATTAGATTTTGACATCAAGACTTCATCTGCTACCTAGATGTTTATTTTCATTTTAGATTCTGAGTGCAACGAAGAATGTATTGGTTTTACTAAGATATATATATATATTTTTTTATCCTATATACAACAATTCGACCATAAATCTTGCTCAGATATATACGCGTGGCACTATTTATGAAAGGAAATATTGTTCAGATGGTACTTTTAGGAGGTTATTTTTTTGATTTTCCAAGTGGTTTTCAAAATATCTGGGAAAACCAGAATAAAAGGTAAGAAAAACGGGTAATGTACGAAATTAATGCTTTTATTATTTTATCAATTTTGTTTTTGTTTTAATAAATTTTAAAATATTTGTAAAGACTTGAAATTCGGACAGAAAATTTATATTTTCTTTTTCTTGACGTGGTAACATTTTCCAAAATGTTTAACCATTTTGAGCTATTTGTTGACATTTTATTTTTTGCGACTTTTGTACATAATTTTTATTCGGTAGGTACTCTGTGGTAAAATTGTAAGACTTAACAGAAATACTTGAAAACTTAATAGGAGGCTCATTAAATTTTAATTTGTGATAAAAAAAAAATTGAGTTTAATGTAGTATTTGTTTTTATAAAGAAATTTTGATACTACATTTTGACGAAAATTATTTAAGTAAACAATTATGTGGAACAAATCTAATTTTTCAATTTTCAATTTTTTTCTCGAACATATACAGATACAGATATATGTATTACAGATTTAAAAAGGATGGTTAAATTCAGAATTGAGCGGACTGACTAAGTTTCCGAAATTATAGCTTTTTGAAGTTCAGATATTATGCAAGTATTATATGTGTATGTTAAATAACTTTATGTTGTTTATTTATGTCATTTTGTTGTAGTCGAATGGTTATGAATACGTATTGTCATACAATGGGCCGCGGGTTTAGACCCCTGGGGTTTGAAAGAAATTGTTTGTACTTTTTTTTACCTTATACCTCTTAATAAGGAAAAAAAAATGCATTTTAAGTGTACCTAGAAACCTAGTTATCGTTCGCTCGGATGATTTTAATCGAAAAATACCCCTCGATTTGTTGTGCAAAATTTTCTACCAGAAATCTTGAGCCCATATATCAAGTATAGCTTATTTTCTGAAAGAAAATTTTCTCCATGGTTGGGGGAGGTCATTTTTGTGATTTTTCAATCGGTTTTCATAATAACTGAGATAAATGTACAAAATGTAGGTATCAGTAAAAAAATATTATGGCCTTATTTTTCTGTGTAGAACTTTTGCTCCAATTTACAATGATAGCATTTTTTCTGAAAGTAATTCTGACTGCCAAGGTACTTTAAGGAGGTCATTTTTCGATTTTCTCAAGTGTTTTCTTAGCAATTGTAATAATCCGAGAAAAACCACGGGAAAACCGAAAAAAACGCAGGAAAAACGGGAAAATCGATACAAAATTAAACAAATATTATTAATAATATTTATCACCCGGCTTCATAGGACGTCCTTTTTTTTTTCTTTTTACTTCACTTATAACATTACCAATTTGGATACTTACATTTTTAAGTTGTGTGCTCATAAAAGATACAGACTTAATTATTTTTAATATTATTTCAATCCATTTATAAATTTTGCTGTTTCCTCTTATGGAGAATTTTGAAGTGTAGTTTGGCAGTTTGAACAAGTAAATCTTGTTTTTATATTATTTGACAATATTTTTAAAAAATCTTTGTAGAGAAATGGATTAACTCGCTCAATACAATGTGCAAGATAGTTGCATTCCAAACACTCAAGTTAATCTTCTTTATATGTTAATGCTTTGATAAATTTTAGACATAGGTACAGTAGACATTTCCAGTAAAAATGGTATTACAAAGACGGTCATACTGCAGTGTTACATTAATAATTTCAAAACAAAAAAAACGGACATACTTCACATGATGGGTACAGCTACTGATGCTGGTGAGAAGTTGGGATGGTAGAATATAGAGGGTAAATTAATAAGTATTTGTAAGCACCCATAAACCATTTCTTACTAAAAACAATTAGTAAAGTTCAGTAGAGTTCAGTTGATAGTGATGCTTTGTCAACAATATAGTCATATTATAATTATTATAATATATTAAAATAGGCATTATATATTTTCTTTAATTATATTAATTTAATATTGTGCTGATTTTCTCGTTTTTTCTACGTTTATCCCGGTTTTTTACATTTGCTGGGAAAATTGAAAAATGACCTCATGAAAGATTTTCTTTTAGATTTCCACTTAGAAAAAGTGCTATCATTGAAAATCTGAGCAAAATTTCCGGAATGAAAGTTATATACCTAAGTCGTGTTTCGTAAATTTTCCTTATATCATATAATCAATACTACATATAATTTGTTCCATTTCGGTAACAATAATTTTTGTAAATATTGTACGTTTAATGTTATTTTTAAAAGTAGAAAGGTATAACTGACTTGAAGAGGAAAACTTTTTATTTAATTTAACATTCCTGTGACTAACTTTGTACCTTCTATGTTCATGCTAAAGTTATGTGGTTTATAAATTTCGTTGTTTGATTTGAAAGTAATTCCATTAGGTGAAGACTTTTTCTAACATTGATATAATATCAATTTTACTTCTGGTAATAACTATTAGTATTTCAAAATATTTTCTTACATATCTTTTGTTGTTTTTCATTTAGAAGACATCATTGTAACATTTTCTATCTCTGTTTAATAACAATATAGCAAAAAATGGTTTTTTGAACATCTGAAATTTTAAGCTAGAATGTCCGCAGGTATTTTCGAGAATCCTGAATACGTAGAATCAAATAAAAACCCGAATAATTTAAAAATTTACTGATTATGATTACGACAGTACGAAAATCGGACGAATTAACCGTAAAAATAAGAAAAATGTTTAGTGAATGTGGTCTCCAAAGGGTTGACTGCCTATGTAGTGTTTCTGGCGTCCACTCAATCGGATCCTCTAACTTCGTGTTTCTATTGCTCACACGAGGACAACTTGTAATTTCTCATCAAGTTCCATCCAAGTGTACACCGGTCAATTAAAGAGAGAACTTCCACTAGTTTCCCGTTTCACCAACCTGAGCCGAGTACCGTCTGATCGACAACAGAGACCATTCCCACGTCAGGCAAATGTGACTCCACGGCAATTGATTTAATTTTTATTTATACTCGTATGTATCTATGTTTTTAATTATTTATGTACAATTTATTTCTCTACTTATTGATTAAAACACTTGTATTATTTATTGGAAAAATTAATATTTTTTATTTACAATACAGGTATTTTATTATATTCTATTTTTGGCAATAATAATGTAAATTAGATTAATTTTATTTAAAAACGGTAATTTATTACTTAGTGCCTTGGGCAGTGACGTAGCCAAGATTTTTTTTAGGGGAGTGATTTTTATTGTATGTTTAGATGTAATTTTGTAACTTTATTGTGTACATGTAATACACATAACGTCATATAGGTACCTATTTAATAGTTATCTATGCGTAACACACACATCTTTAGAAATCCGATGCATGTAGTAAAAATTATAACTTTTGGTATTTATATCCGACATTAAATCTCAGTTTTTCGTAGATATTATGAAAACCACTTGAAAAATTAAAAATTGACTTCCCTAAAGTACCATGTAGAAAAGTTTCCTTTCAGAAAATAAGCAACACTTGATACATCGGAGAAAGATTTTTGATAGAAAAGTTTGCACAACTAATCGAAGGTTATTTTGCGATTAAAATAATCCAAGTAAGCGATAGCTTGGGTCTCTAGGTAAACCCAAAACGCATTTTTTAGCAAGAAATGTATTGGTTTTATTATGATGTGTTCTTTTAGATTCTAAGAGCAGCAAGGAATGTATTGATTAGGTTAAGAGTATGTATGTGATTTTTTTTAAAAAATTTGTTTACACTGTTGATACTGTGTATATCCACTTCTGGTGCCTAATTTTCAGAAAATTTTGTGTTGAGCCATTGGCTCTTTACCAACGCCCTTCAGCCGACTGCCGTGGTGGTCAATTTACCGCTGAAACCACCGAAGAGTAAAATAGGATCGAATAAACAGACAAAACTGTTATAAGTACATTATACTGTCTATAGATTGTTGAAACTTAATTACTTTTCAACTAACATCGTACACCCACCCAGTACCCTTATCAGTGTACATTTCGCTCTCAGTTAAAATAATATTTAATAATATGATTTTGTTTGGAACAAGATTTCTGGTGAAAAATTAGTTTACTGTTGTAAGTAGGAAATTGAGGAGGAAAAATACATAAAGTTATTTATTTTATATCTGTAAGCAACGATAAATCATTGCTAACGAAAAAATGAGTCTGAAGTTCGGTTTTACATGTTTTGAAATTTTATCTTAGAACTTTTATAAAAAAAACTATTACATTACACTATAAACTCTTTTTTTTATCACCGAAGTACAACTTACAATAAACCTCGTGTTAAATTTGCAAATATTTTTGTTTGATCAAACAATTGTATAACAACACATAATAACTATAAAACAAAAACTAAAAAAAAAAAATATCAAATGATTAAAAATAACTTATAAGTTTGACTATATTTATTGAAATGTTTAATGTAAGTATTTTTTGCAACATAACACTGGATCCGCGTAATTCAATCTGAAGCCTACTTACAGGAGACAGCAGCGTTAAAATCCAAGACACTTGTTCATCGATTCAGTTATTTTAAATAACTTAATCTGATCATTTACGTCATTGATTTAATTCAAGTGGGTGGCCGTTTTGTTAATTTACTAATATGTGACTCATGTTTGCCTGGGTGGATGTACGATGGTAGTTGAAGAGTAATTAAGTTTTAACAATCTATAGACAGTATAATGTACCTATAACAGTTTTGTCTGTTTATTCGATCCTATTTTACTCATCGGTGGTTTCAGCAGTAAATTGACCACCACGGCAGTCGGGTGAAGGGCATTGGTAAAGAGCCAATGGCTCAACATAAAATATTCTGAAAATTAGTCACCAGAAGTGGATATACACAGTATCAACAGTGTAAACAAATTTTTTAAAAAAAATCACATACATACTTTTAACCTAATCAATACATTCCTTGCTGCTCTTAGAATCTAAAAGAACACATCATAATAAAACCAATAAATTTCCTTGCTTCGCTCTAAATCTAGAATCTAGATTTAGGTATATTTCAAGAGAAAGCGTTTCAGCGTTTCTAGAGAAACGCTGTAGCCGGATTCCACTATTAAAAATATTTATAAATTACATTACTTAGGTACTTGTCCAATATAAATGTTGTATGTGGATAATAATAATTCTGAGCATTTGGTGCCTGCACACTGCTATGTAAAATAAAATATAAAAATACATGTATCTCTGATACTGTAGATTTAAAAAACATATAGGTAAGAAATTAATATTTATTTTATTTATATAGGTAGATAAATATAGGTAATCATTATTCGTAATTATTACTATTAAAAAATACGAATATACCAAAGATTTAATTGAAAAGAAAATAATATAAACAAATGTGAATTTCAAAAAGGTTTTATTTACTATAAAATTCCCAAAAATGTAGTCATATTTCGTATGTATTGAGTTTTTTAATTCGTACTGGCGAGTAACAAGTTGAGTTGTTCATATCTTCCGGTGGTAAATTTAACGCTTCTTCTGGCTTGTCTACAAAAGTAAAATTTATTAATATAAGTATCTATCTATAATATTATCTATAATTAATACATTTAATGGAAAATTAATGCATAATATGTTTTTTTTTTCATATAATATCATATATTATAAAATACTTAAGCTAAGCGTTTTAAAATTAGAGCATTTTATCTGTTGAAAAAAACACATTTTAGTAAAATTATAATAACTTCTTCAGCACATTCAGAATCTAAAGTACGTATTACATTTTTTAGAACGCGTTTTGTTTATTATTTTAATTTTCAGTACTCGTATAACATTGCAACACATTTGAGAATTTGCCATAAAATGTATTTTATAGTATCTGAGTTGTATAGTAAATAATATACTATTATTTGTACACATATTCATTATCTACTGAAATGGTCTGTGCTACTGCAGTGGGTATCACGGAACATGTTTTAGGCTAAATTACCAAATATGGTAACTATAAGAAATCATGTAACATTAATAATATGTTTAACAGTTTCAGTTTGATATATTTATAAACGTAGGTAGGTACTAGACTAACCTACTCGTTAACCTAGTTGACAGTGTTGCATATATCTGTACTATGATCAATTATTAACATATCGTATACCGATCAAATAAATCCATTTGTATAATATATTTACCGTAAGATATAACGAAAGTATTGTTGTAGTTCGGTCGACAGCAGTCGAACAGTAGGCATTTAGACCAAAAACAACAAACAATAAACAGTATTCCTATTACTAGACAGCTGACTATGAAACATATTCCAACGATCATAAGCCAATCGGTATGTTCTGGAGGTGGCATGCCCATGGTGAATATATATATATATATATATATTAGGCTAAAATCAAATCATAAAAAACAATTAGCAAAAACACATTATAATATACCTATCAAGGGCGCCCGCAGAAATATAAACTGAGGGGAGCCAATGTCAAAAGTGTAAGACTTTTTTTTACAACTTACCAATTATAAGCAATCATGGCTTAAATATTTAAGTAATAAAACAATTCATATTTAATATTAACTAAAATAGCGGGGGGTGATCATGGTCTCCACCGGCACCCCCCTGCATGGGCGCCCTTGAATCTTGTTACCTAGGTATTATAGTTAAGTAGTGTGAATAATTGTGTTAGAAGAAAAACAAATGTTTTATTCATAAAATAAGTATAGTTAACAATAATTTGTATTATTCAAGATAAACTTACACTTTATAAAAAAACGACCGTCAATAATATCAAAAACATAATAAATATTCTATATTTTTATATGAGTTTATATTTGAATAACAACGATGTTCTCATCTAATTATATATGATGATGATATACACTTATTGTATTATAGTGTAATAGAATATATAAATAATATATATATTTTTTATCTGAAAAAAATAAAAATACAATTATTATTGAAATATGTTTTATATTTACAACACTAAAAATCTACACTTAAAAATATACAATATTTAAATTTTTGTTTTCGTATATTATTAAAAATAACAATAAGCGATGTTAAAAATACACAACAAAACGTAATGGTGGTGCCCTTCACCAAGTTTTTTTTATTATATCAATTACTATATAACATAAGAAGATTTTATTGTGTTACGCACTGATAATTTTACTTTCTAAACCAAAAAATAATATATCGTATACTTTCCTAAAGTACCATAATATAATACAACGTGCGTTTAGAAAGAATAACAAAAGAAATTAATCTTAACAGTAAACGTCATTTAATGAAATTCGAAATTTACTTATATTGAACAGAGCTTACGCTAATCAAATATTAGAACTATACGTTCAAGACCGTGCTGGAAAACATTTTGGGAGATGGTCCAATATTTTTTCCAATCAATGTTTTTAACGATTTGTTAAAAAAAATATCTACCTTTTTTTTGTTTGATGTCTTGTTCTTTATCGTTATTTATCGGTATATTTTCCAATTCATATTAATATTTTCATTCGAAGTTTCAAAAAACACGCACTATTAAAATAATTGCGATGCTTTTTAAGTATAATTCTGATAATTATACTGCAAATAATTGTTAAATTATATTTATTAAAAATCATAATTTAATTTAGAACTGCTTATTCTGTAAACAATTGCACGTTAGTGGCACAAGCTCTGCTCAAATAAGTATTATGATAATTAACTGTATATATAGTTAAAAAAATTAATAATAATACCTAACAAAACATAATAGGTAGTAAATAAAGTGTTTAGGTTAATAATAAATTAGCATAGGCATTAAATAATCAACATAATAATAAATGCGTATCTCAATCATGTTTTTTTTTTAGATTTACACTAATATTTTTGGATTATATAATGATAGCGGTATCTATATTCAAATTGATCAAATTTATTTATGAAGAATTCGCCATACCCGCATGTGCTGTCTTCTGTATGGTATTGCAAATTTCTATTCAGCAGAAACAACTCTGTGTTATTAGTTGTAATATTAGAATGAATCGATTTATTATTAAACTTATAAATAAAGTTTTTCGCATTATTTAAATTTTTAAGCGAGATGGAAGCATTTTTAAATCGTGATATTTCAGAGATTCTTATCTCGCTTAAAAATTAAAATTACGAAAAAAAGACAGACATATTTCGCAAGATGGGTGAGCCACTGTTGTAGATGAAAAGTTGGGAAGCTAGAGTATAGACGATAATTTAATACATTTTGAATGCAAGGATTAATCATTGCTAATGAAAAACTATTCTGAGCGGAGTTCGATTTTGTATGTTTTAAAAGGCTGTAATATTTACGATTTTCGTCAAAATTTGATATTAAAATTCTTACATAAAAAAAGTACCATAATAAACTCAACTTTTTCTTTGGTCGGCTAGTAAATACAACTTATAAAGAACCTCCTGTTAAATTTTCAAACATTTCTGTTTGGTGTAACAATTTTATCCACAGGGTTCCTAAAATTCTATAAATAGCTCAAACATTTTGAAATTTTATTACATCTATAAAAGACAAATATAAGGCTTTTGTCCAAATTCCAAGTCTCTATGAACATTTTTAAACTGAATAACAAAAAAACAAAATTGAAAAAATAAAAGCATTATTTTCGTACATTTTCCCTACTTTTACCATTTATTTTGATAACCCTTGGTAAAATCAAAATTATCTTCCTAAAAAAGAAAATTTCCTTTTATTTATGGTGCTAGACTTAAATATCGCATTTAGATTTCTGGTTGAATTTTCGTTCACAGTACAAAAAAAAAAAAAAAAAAAAATAAACACCATTGTAGAACCAATATATTCCGCTTCGTTCAAAATCTAAAACGATATTTCGACATAGATAATGTTCTTAAATTTAAGTTTGATATAATAGGCCTAAAAACAATAATATCAAAACGAACTACAGTATAGAGTTGTCCCTGCTGAACTAAAATTTGCTATGTTGTGCGGTTGTATGACGTATACTCTGAATATTGTGAGAAACGAATATAATATGTTATATAATTGCGAACCTGCAACTCAAGTAATATTCGATCGGTTTTGAATAGGTTCCTACCACCACACTATATAGGCTATATTATAAATTATAATACACGTGGATACTAGAGTTCTTGTGTTTTGTAATTTCGAAATAATAATACAAAATTTGTAGCTATTTTTGTGTACATTGCGAAACATTTTGTGCACTACAAAATCCCAAATGTGCACTACGAAAAATTAAAATATGCACCTGTCTCCTGCATTTTTATTATAACTACGAGGTTTTGCAGACTTCAAGAAAACATTTTGTTTTAAATATTTATAGTGTAATCAATCCTCGATAAAATATTCATATTATCTTGGAGAATATTCAGTTTTTCAGAATAAGTCTGAAAAAATAGTCACTGATACAGATATTGCAGCATTGTCTTCCTGACGAAACAGTAAAAAGAATAGAAAAAAAAAAAAAAAACAATAATTGATCATTAATTATAATTATTAATAATTCACGAGAGAAATATCACTAAAAGTAGTACCTAATAGTTGATTATTGTCTAGTTAATAGTAATCGTAATATTATTTGTATGGAAAAGTATCTACGCGATGCAGCAGAGAAGACGTTAAATTAAGTGACCGAGCATATTGCAATATTATATATTAAGTGCGAAGGCGTTCAAGTAGGTATCTAAATTAACGAAACTTCCATAAACGTCGAGTATAGTATGGTACCTATTTAATATAATAATTATATTTTACATACGCCCAATGCATAATAATATGATGAATAACCTTAACGGACAATTTATGTAAATAATAGGCGGTTAATATTAGGTGTATAACATAGTATGTAATTAAAATCGTCCAACTCACTTTTCTATCGAAATATAAGTACCTAGGTGGGTGTGTGTGTGTATGTGTAAGTGTTTTTAGGTAGGTATATTGTATATTCGTAGGTATTTTACAGCTTAGTAGACGCTGGTAGTAGAATAACACTCCGGGACGGCGATTGTAATGACGAAAAATCAAAAAAATAAACGAGCGTGTAATATAATATAAACGCAGGTATCGTTATAAAATTGTTAAACGGCGAAAAATTCGCGGTTTAAAACTTAAATAGTACCGATATGGTAATGATGAGCGGGAAACGAATAGGAAAAAATAAAATAAAATAAAGAAAACTAGTCAATCGATAAATTGTAGTTTACCGGAGAGCCGTCCACACCGAACGCGGATCTACGACTACGGCGCTACGGGCGCTACTGACGTCGGCCGTGGGGCGGTCGACGCTCGACGCTCCGATTACGGTGACGCGGTTACTAAGGATCCCGGATTTTTCCCGCGGCGCGACTTGCGCGGTACGGCCGATGTTCACGGCCGGTGACGGGCGAACAAAACAATAATCATTATTTCGGTTGTCCTCGACGCCGCTCACTGTATAATATATTATAATATTATGATACCATATAACGGATAGGTAATACGGCGATCGGTGACGCGAAAAAATCACGAAAAAAAAGCGGTATAGCGGACTACACTATGTTTGTGTAGGATATATAGGTGGATAAAAATCGTCTTGAAACCAAAAAAAAACGATTCCAAGCGGTAATTTGTGTGCGATTAGACCACTAGTTTCCATACGTCCTCTCCCAGCGATACGTTTAAATTTAAAAATTGTATTAACATCCTATTATTGTAAACTGTACATGTGCAAAATAAATTGCAAAATATCGCGTTCGTGTTTTTAACGATTTTCATTATAAATTCGAACTTTATACGCGTTTACACAAAAATAAACTAACACGCATATGATAATTGTAAGCTCAATTTTTTATTTACCACTTGATATAATAAGTAGAAATCAATTTTCGAACAATACAAAGTCGAAAATAGCCATCCGTATAAAACTAAAAAAATAAATAGCAAACCTAAAAAATTCAATATTTTCAAATAGTTATCACAAATAAATAACTCGAAAAACGCCAGAATATTGCGAAAATTGTACCACGGCCAAAAAATACTACAATTTAAGAATTCGATAAAGCTTAGTTGTCTCTATACAATTATTTTTCATCGAAATACAACAAAAACACAATATTGATATTAACCGAAACCGTTGTTAAAACACACTATTGCATAAATATTACTTAACTACTTAATATTACTTTTTCGGACTATTTTGTGTGCCCCCCCTGTAATTTAAGGTTGTAGTTAGATGACATTACCGTGAGGTATTTCAAATTAAATTATCATTGCTATAAACATATAACTAGCCTTCATATTTTTATAATAATAAACAATAAATTTGAACAAATTTTTGAAAAGATTCAACCCCCCCCCTCACCGCAGATACGTCCTTGAACACAGTATTAGGAGAAGTAAAAAAAAAATATTCTCTTTATTTACTATATTAATATTATATAAAAATAATACCAGAAATTATTATAATTATTAGAGCAAGTTATTGGTCGAGAATTCATTTACAGACAGAAAAAAACTCACACACCACAATAAATTAAAAACATTTTCTTACTTTTCGCTCAGAATCTAAAATGTTTATAATTCTAAAAAAAAAAAAATAGCTGATACTGAGGACGGGTGTGGACACTGTTATAGTTGGGTAGTTGGAAAGGTGGTAAGGTGGGATACATAAAGTTATTTAATTTATACCTGTGACCAACGATAAACCATTGCTAACGAAAAACAACTTGGAGCGAAGTTAAATACGGTTTGAAAGACTGTGATATTTACGATTTTCGTCAAAATTTGATTTTCAAACTATTATAAAAAAATAAAAATACGACATTACATGCATTTTTTTTTTTTTTTGCGACTACTAAGTACATTTTATTGAGAACTTTCTGTCAAGTTTTCATACATTTCTGTTCAGTCTAACAATTTTATGCACTGAGTACTACTACATAAAAATTACGTACAAAAGTCGCAAAATTGAAATGTTTATAGATTGCTCAAAAATGACTCCATTGTTCTTAAAATTATAAAATGTTTAGCAAATATAAATTTTTATCAAAATGTCAAGTCTTTACGAACATTCTTAACTGAATAACAAAAAAACAAAGTTGAAAATAATTAAAACATTATTTCTGTAAATTATTCCGTTTTTCCTAAATTTTTCCTCGGTCTTCCTCAATTATTTATAAAATTACAAATAAAATAAAAAAACGACTTGCTTAGTTACCAACTAGATTAATAGTTCAACAAATAAGAGAACTTTTTGTTTTTTCTATTAGTGCAATATTTCTGGTAGAAAACGAAAATCGTAAAAAATTAAAATAATGAAATCGTAACGCAGTTAATTTGTTAGTTTTCATTTTACCTTTTTTTCCAGTTTTCTTAATTATTAATAAAACTACAAAGAAAATCAAAAAAACGGCTTAATTACTCACCAACTAGATTAAAAATTCAACAAAATTGGTTCGTTTTGCTATCGGAACAATATTTCTGATAGAAGACATAACTCGTACAAATTTTAAATACCTAATGAAATCGTTGCACCGTAATTTGAAAAAAAAATCGTATTTTTTGGATTTTCTAAACTATTAAACAACTATGTATATATGTCCTAAACTTTGTTAAAAATATTTAGTTGTAGGTAGTTCAATATATTATTTGATCAATTTTTTTTTAGAAAGATAGATATACTGTAGTATTTTATTGAACGAAATAATTTTAATAGTTACCTTTATTGGTCATTATTTTCAGTGGCGTGCCCAGGAATTACCAGTGGGAGGGGATGTAGCAAATAAGAATCATAAATAAATCATAAATTCATCTTCTCTACCCAAATTAACTGTAGGAATTGGTAATTTAAAAGCCGGATCCTAAAAGAGGCCAATTTCTAATCAATATGTCAAGTTTTTCCTCGTAACTCGTCTAAAATATATACATTTCGAAAAATGGACTATGGATTTGTAAGTAAAAACATATTTTTATTTGATATATGCATTCATTTATATGAAATATTGACATATTTTGATGTTAGAATAATACAATATCAATTACAATTTGTAATTATAATACATATATTTTCTTCAATAATATTAAATATTACATATATACATATTACACATGCTTCTAATAATTAATATATAGACAACTATACCGTTTATATAATTATGTTAAAATAAATAAACATACAAATGAAAAATAAAATTTAAATCATATAAACATTTTATAAAATTGTATTAATACTATTAAATTGAATATTGTGATTGATTTTGAATGGGCGGCAGATGTGAGATAGCCGATTGTATATTATATTGTGACGAGTGATTTTGAATTATATAAATAGATGAAAATAAATAATGAGAAAAGTGTTTTAATTAAAGCATGTGGATTATATTTGTATACATCTAATAATATAAAATACGAAGATTATGAGGACAGTGAAAATAAACAAATTCATTTCAATATTTATCATCTTATCGACCTTACTGTACACCCTCTCCACTTGTAGTGGGTTAATGTCGTGCACAAAAAAAAAAAAAATACAATAAATAATTGAACGCATTAGCAAGCAATAACTATTAAAATAACTTATATCATACCTATAACTACAAAATAACTTTATACCTACTTAACATATTGGTTTCGAAGTATTGATATTTATGTATAGATTATTATATAGACCTATATTAATATAAAAAAAAGAAGTTATACTGGGGATGGGAGCGGCCACTGTTGTAGGTGAGAAGTTGAGAAGGTAGGATACATAAGGTTATTTCATTTATATTGGTAAGCAACAATAAATCATTGCTTGACGAAAGACGATTCCGAGTGCAATTTGGTAATACATAATTTTTGCGATTTTCGTTTAAATTTGATTTTAAAATGCTTATTAAAAAAAAAAAAGTCGTCCGATGATTTTGAAAATGTCACCACGTCTAGGTAAGTCTAATATAAGTATTATTACCAAGTTTCAAATCTCTACGTGTATTTATAACCGAATTGTAGCAAAAAAACTCCTAAAAATTAAAATCCCTTAAAAGCTAAAAGAAGGCTCAAAAGTTTTGGAAATGATACTGTTAGAAATTAAATCAAAATGGCAACAAAAAAGGTGTTTTGTGATTTTTCTATTAAATCATTTTTTCTTATAGAAAACGTAGTCTGTGTTTTTATAAAATAATGACATCGTGAAATTGTACATTTTCCTAAGTTTTCTTCCACTTAAATACTTTTTTTTAAAAAATGGAGTCAAAAATAAAAAAAAAATGACCACTTTAAAGTATTATCGAAATAACTTGCTCTTTTAGAAAAGTTGCTACACGTAAAAATCGGAGCAAGTTTAACAAGAAAAAACGTGTCCACAGACTAGAATAAAGAAAAAAGAAAAAGAAAAAAAGAAATAAACATCTTAGTAAAATCAATAACTCCCTCACTACGCTTGGAATCTAAAACGTATCGTTAAACCATATATAACATATATGTTTGAATCTATGGTTTAAATATTAATGCGTTTTAATATGTTGAGAAAAACACTTATTTTTTAAAAAAAAACGTATGAGGAGAGGCTGATAGAAGATAATCTTAATAAAATTAAGTGAATTCGAATTTTTATAGAAATGATACTTAGGTGAATTTAGGGTGCACGTCGTAAATCAATATCTTATTTAACCCGCATTCGAGTTTTGATTGTTAGAAATATATATGGATCTCTCGAACAAAGGATGCTCCGTTATATTTATTATATCACTCATTTTTCCTAATACTGAAAACCATTTACTCGGTGATCGTATTTTAATCTTTTATAATCACACTGTTATAAAAAAATATAAATAATTCTTTACAGATGTCTGTGTCACGATGTTCTAAACGTTAAAGCACAATCATACATATTTTATTATTCACAAAAAAATTACTCTTTATCTGGGATTTTATTTTTTTTCGGTAGGGGACTGAATTTATACTCCGCATATGAGTACATGGCCCGTATATGTGTTTAAAACTGATCAATGATGGATGATGGCCATTCTTATTATCGAAAAAACCGCAAACTAGGTTTAATAATTTATACTGTGATCTTTTACGAACTATTTTTCCGATTAATGTAGATACTGGATAACATTTTTTAGGCTCCGTACATGTGTTCGGCTAAATTTGTTACAAGATTTATCATAAATTATATTCGGTAGTAAAATAGTTGAGCGTAATAAATCGTAAATATAAATATAAAAATGAGATATTTCGTAAATTGTCTCGTTTTTTCTGTTTTATGCGTTTTTCCAGACTATTATAAAAATCGCTTGGAAGATCAAAAAATAACCTCCTTATAGTACCAACTAGATATAATTTTCTTTCAGTTACATTTGAAAATCGGAGCAAGATTTCAGGTAGAAATTTTGTACACAGTATAAAAAA